ATTCCATGCTCATGGATAGGAAGAATCAATAACATGAAAATGGCCATACTGCCCAAGGTCATTTATAGATTCAGTGACATCCCCATTAAGCTACCAATGACTTTCTTCACAGAATTGGAAAAAACTACTTTAAAGTTCATATGGAACCAAAAAGGAGCCTGCATTGCCAAGACAATCCTTAGCCAAAAGAACAAAGCTGGAGGCATCACACTACCTGACTTCAAACTATACTATAAGGCTACAGTAACCAAAACAGCATGGTACTGGTACCAAAACAGACATATAGACCAATGGAACAGAACAGAGCCCTCAGAAATAATACCACACATCTATAACCATCTGATCTTTGACAAACCTGACAAAAACAAGAAATGGGGAAAGGATTCCCTATTTAATAAATGGTGCTGGGAAAACTGGCTAGTCATATGTAGAAAGCTAAAACTGGATCCTTTCCTTACACCTTATACAAAAATTAATTCAAGATGGATTAAAGACTTAAATGTTAGACCTAAAGCCATAAAAACCCTAGAAGAAAACCTAGGCATTACCATTCAGGACATAGGCATGGGCAAGGACTTCATGTTTAAAACACCAAAAGCAATGGCAACAAAAGCCAAAATTGACAAATGGGATTTAATTAAACTAAAGAACTTCTGCACAGCAAAAGAAACTACCATCAGAGTTAGCAGGCAACCTACAGAATGGGAGAAAATTTTTGCAATCTATTCATCTGACAAAGGGCTAATATCCAGAATCTACAAAGAACTCAAAGAAATTTACAAGAAAAAAATGACCCCATCAAAAAGTGGGTGAAGGATATGAACAGACCCTTCTCAAAAGAAGACATTTATGCAGCCAACAGACACATGAAAAAATGCTCGTTATCACTGGTAATCAGAGAAATGCAAATCAAAACCACAATGATATACCATCTCACACCAATTAGAATGGCAATCATTTAAAAGTTAGGAAACAACAGGTGCTGGAGAGGATGTGGAGAAATAGGAACGCTTTTACACTGTTGGTGGGACTGTAAACTAGTTCAACTATTGTGGAAGACAGTGTGGCGATTCCTCAAGGATCTAAAACTAGAAATACCATTTGACCCAGCCATCCCATTACTGGGGATATACCAAAAGGATTATAAATCATGCTGCTATAAAGACACATGCACACGTATGTTTATTGCGGCACTATTCACAATAGCAAAGACTTTGAACCAACCCAAATGTCTATCAGTGATAGACTGGATTAAGAAAATGTGGCACATATACACCATGGAATACTATGCAGCCATAAAAAAGGATGAGTGCATGCCCTTTGTAGGGACATGGATGAAGCTGGAAACCATCATTCTCAGCAAACATGATGAAGCTGGAAACCATCATTCTCAGCAAACTATCACAAGAATAGAAAATCAAACACTGCATGCTCTCACTCATAGGTGGGAATCTGAACAATGAGAACACTTGGACACAGGAAGGGGAACATCACACTGGGGCCTGTCGTGGGGTGGGGGAAGGGGGAGGGACAGCATTATTAGGAGATATACCTAATGTAAATGATGAGTTAATGGGTGCAGCACATCAACATGGCACATGTATACATATGTAACAAACCTGCATGTTGTGCCCATGTACCCTAGAACTTAAAGTATAATAATAAAAAAAAAGAAAAGTAAGTTGCCCTTCAGCAAATTAAAACTTTTGTCCTTCCAGCAAAATAATCTATCAACTGAATAAACAGACAACTTTTAGAATGGGAGAAAATTTTTGCAAATTATGCATCTAACAAAGGTCTAATATCCAGCATCTATAAGGAACTTAAACAAATTTACCAAAAAAATCCAATTAAAAAGACAAAGGGCATGAACAGACGTTTCTCAAAAGAAGACATTCATGTGGCCATCAAGCGTATGAAAAAAAGCTCAGCATCACTGATCATTAGAGAAATGCACATCAAAACCACAATGGGATGCCATCTCACACCAGTCAGAATGGCTGTTATTAAAAAGTCAAAAAATAACAGATGCTGGCAGGGTTGTAGAGAAAAAGGAATGCTTTTACACTGTTGGTGGAAGTGTAAATTAGTTCAACCTTTGTAGAAGACGTGGCAATTCCTCAGAGACCTAAAGACAGAAACACTATTCGACCAGCAATCCCCTTACTGGGAATATTCCTAACAAATTATATTTGTTATAAGTAAAATTTAATATTCAAAAAACAAAGGAATGTAAACTGTTATATCATAAAGACACATGAACACGTATGTTCATTACAAAACTATTCACAATAGCAAAGACATGGAGTCAACCCAAATGCCCATTGAAGATAGACTGGATAAAGAAAATGTGATACATGTACATCATGAAATAATATGCAACCATAAAAAAGAATGAGATAATGTTCTTTGCAGGGACATGTATGGAGCTGGAGGCCATTATCTTTAACAAACTAATGCAGGAACAGAAAATCAAGTGTCACATGATCCCACTGATAAGTAGGAGCTAAATGATGAAAACACACTATCACATAGAGCGGAACAACACACAACAGAGGGGCCTATCAGAGGCTGGAATGTGGGAGGAGGGAGAGAATCAGGAAAAATAACTAATGGATACTAGGCTTAATACCTGGGTGATGAAATAATCTGTACAACAAACTCCCATGATGCATGTTTACCTATGGAACAAACCTGCACATCCTGCACATGTACCCCTGAACTTAAAGATTAAAAAAAAAAAACACTTTTGTGCTTCAAAGGACACCTTCTAGAAAGTGAAAGATAAACCACAGAATGGGAGAAAATATTTGCAAATAAGGGACCTGAATCTAGAATACATAAAGAACTCTTACAGCTCAATAATAAAAAGACAACCCAATTTAAAAATGGACAAAGATCTGAATAGATGTTACTTCAAAGAAGATATACAAATGGTCAATAAGCACATGAAAAGAAACTCAACATCATTCGTTATCAGAAAAACACAAATCAAAACCATAATGAGATACCCCCAACACTTACTAGGTTGGTTATGATTTTTAAAAAGACATAATATGAAGCGCTGATGAGAATATGGAGAAATTAGAACCGTCATGCACTAGTGGAGGAAATGTAAAATGGTACAGCTGCTTTGGGAAACATTCTGGCAGTTCCTCAAAAAGTTAAACATACAGTGACCCTATGACCCAACAATTACACTTGTTTGTATATACCCAAGAGAATGAAAACATAGGTCCACACAGAAACTTGTGCACACATAACAACATTATTTATAATAGCCAAAAAATGGAATCAACCCAAATGTCTGATTAATGGCTAAGAAATGTATATATAAAATATGGTATAGCCATACAATGGAATATATTGAAATACATAAAGAAATAAAGTTCTGATACATGCTACAATATGGATGAACCTTGAAAACAGGCTAAGTGAAACAAACAAATACACACAAAAGGTCACATATTGTGTGATTCCATTTATATGAAATTTCCAGAATGAGAGGATCCACAGAGTCAGAAAGGAGATTCGTGGCTGCCTAGGGTGGGGGGAAAGGAGATTCGTGGCTGCTAATGGGTACATGGCTTCTTGTTTGGGTGATGAAAATGTTTTAAAATTGACCATGGTGATGGTTGCACAGCTCTGTGACCATACTAAAACCATTGAATTACACACTTTACATTGGTGGATTTTATACTATGTGAATTATATCCCAGTAAAGCTGCTATATAAAAAGGGATATATTACTAGAATTCCAAGGTTATTAATAAAATGCACCTTACTTTATTTAAGCATCAAGTTAAGGTGCTCTATTATCTGTGAAAGAGTTGAAGATATAGAGGACTAAACCCACTTCAGGATGAATACACATTTGCTGAGCAAGGAACTCTGCAAGAACTCTGGGAAAAAAATACATACACACACACACACACACACACACAGACACACACACACACATATATATATAAACATGTAGTTTTACCCCCAGAGTTGAAAACTAAACATTAGAGCTACACTGTCCAATATGATACCTACTAGCTAAATTTACATTTTATTCTTAAATTCATTAAAATTAAATAGAATTCAAATTTTGGTTTAACAGTTACACTATTCACGTTTAAAGTACAGATGCTCTTCAGCTTACATCCCAATAAAAGCATCGTATTTGAAAATATTGTAAATTGAAAATGCATTTAGCATACCTAACCTATCAAAGATGATAGCTTAGCTTAGCTTACCTTAAACATGCTCAAAACACTTAACAGTAGACTGCAGTTGGCAAAATCACCTAACACAAAGCCTATTTTACAATAAAGTGTTGAGTGTCTCATGGAATTATTGAACACTGTACTGGAAGTGAAACACAGAATGGTTGTGTGGGTCCTCGGAGTGTAGTTTCTACTGAATGCATTACCTCCTTTGCACCATTGTAAAGTCAAACCACCATGAGTTGGGGACCATCTGTACTCCATAACCTACTGTGGCTATGGGCTACTCCACCAAATAGGTAGATTATAGAACATTTTCATCATTGCAGAAAGTTCTACAGCCGTATTAACAACTGCTTCAAATATTATTAAAAAACAGGATATAAATATACAGTTAGAAGAAATAAGACATAGTGTTCAATAGATCATTAGAGCACCTATAGTTTAAAATCATCTATCGTACATTTCAAAATAGAGGAGAATAATTTGAATGTACCTCTCATAAAGAAAAAGTAATTTAAGGTGATGGATATCCCAGTTACCCTGATTTGATCTTTACACATGATATGGATATATCACATTATCACATATACCCCAAAAATATGTACATCTATTATATAATTAATTTAAATTTTAAAATATTAAGAAATGTATTGGAAATCAAACACGCAGCTTTGGTTGGAGCAAATTTACGTCTAGGAAGTGGTTGTGTCTGCTCACAGCTGACACTGATTAAATACTTGTTTATTAGATTAATGAATAAATAAAACTCTTCTTTTCTCGACACAGATCAACCACTCTGATACTAAGAACAACAGATATTCTGGCTGGCCTGCAGAGATCCAGATAGAAGGCTGCATACCCAAAGAACCAAGCTGACGCTGCAGGGTCCTTAATAAATGTGTTCTGTATAAACAAATGCAGCTGGAATCGCTCAACAATCTTATTTTTCTAAATCCAACAGTCCATAGTTGATGAGTATTTTGGGTTTGTTGTAAACCAATGAGCATTTGCTAGTTGTATCAAATCTTGGTACACAGTATTTTTATACCAGTATTTTATATAGTGAAGATGTCAATTAGCAGGAAACTAAAACGAATGGAAATTCTTAAAGGTAATGATGTGATTCAAGCTGGAAAGAGGGTTGGGTGAAACAACTTGTCCAGGTGGAGCTATGTTATGATCAGATCTAAGTGTGACCCCTGTGTGGTCCAGACAGCTCTGCAGAGAGAAAACCTTTATTCCATTATCACGAAGCACCTCCTAGTTTCCGACAGTCGTCTCCTTCTGCCGGGAGAATTAGCAGCAGTTCTGAGGGCTTTGGTAACCTCCTTGTTCAACTCAAGTTGAGCTCTTGCAGTCTTCCTGTGGGCCTGTGAATGTATTCATTCCACAACTCTGGGTACCTCCCAGCCCTGGTACCGGCGGTACAGTACACAGTCCCTGCCTTCATGCCAGGCTGTTGAGCTCTTTGGAGGGCAACGGAACACCTCACTCTCTAGAAGATGCAGCAGTACATCCAAGAGTCTGGGATGTTCCACACTTGCTGAAACGGTGGGTCAGATGATGTGTGTGATTCGGAGCTAAGAAAATAGAGTCACTGGGGCTAGCAGTCGGTGCCAGGTGTCCATTCTCACCTCTTTCCCGGGCCTGGCCCCAGAAGAGCTAGGAGACTTTGGTGCCAGGTTAATACTGCTTCTCTGAGCCTCTATATCTCATCTGTAAAATAAAAGAGTTGGGATAGATGAATGGTTTCCAAGCATTTTTGTTGGCAGGACTCCTTTTTAAAACATGGTGCTACACGGCACCCTGAATTCCAGCATTCTCACAGTAACAAACTGCCCCAAGTCTCAGTGGCTTATAAGAGCATTGATTTCTTGTTTGTGTTAGTGTGGCCACAGGCCAGCCACAGCTGAGCCCTAGGTGTGAAAAGCCAGGCTGAAGGGGTGTCCCCTGTCAGGTATGAAAGCCAGGGAGGGAACAGAAATCCAGCCTCCAAGCCTCACCAAGCTCGTGGCCTGATGTGTCAGCCCCACCTGCTCACATACCAAGGCCCCAAACATGGGAGGCGCCAGGTCAGTGAGGCCAGAGGATGTCAACCCCTCCCTCAGGGGCCCCAGCAAACCATGGGCAGTGTGGCTGTGGGCTGCATGACGGCCCTCTTCCAGGGAAGGGGGTGGCCACTGTGAGTGGAGATGCAATGACCTGATGACTGCTGAGAGTCAAGCAGTGCTCTAGCTCAGGGAGGAGCATCACCCAGCCTGTGAGCCCTACGCTGGGCAGAGGCCCCTCAGGGAGCCTGGTGTCTGCAAGGGAGGCTGCAAACCATTGGATGGGGTCATGGCTCAGATCCTAGTAGGGGCTGAACTGTATCCCCCAAAATTTCATCCGCTGAAGTTCTAACCCCCAGGATCTCAGAATGCAACCTTATTTGAAAACAGGTTAACTGCAGATGCCGTCAGTAAGGATCAAGTGGTCCTAGAGTAGAGTGGGCGGGCCCCCACCTATCAGGACTGGTGTTCTTATAAAAAGGAGAAATTTGGACATACCCACCCAGAGAATGGGATGATGCACCTGTATGCCAAGCAACACCCCAAATCACCAGCAAACCATGGGAAGCTGGAGAGACGCTTGGAACAGGGTCTCCCCTAGAGACTTCGGAGGGAGCGCAGTCCTGACACCTCAATTTGGAACTTCTGGCCTCCAGAGTTGTGAGACCAGAGACCTCTGCTGTTTAGGCTACTCAGGTGTGGTTCTTCGTGATGGCAGCCCCACAAAACTCATATAGGCCCTGGTAAGTGCTAAGCTCTTGGTATGCATAGACATTTTTGTGTATGAAAAAAGGAGGGCAGTACATTTTTATTCTGGCCGAAATTGCTCTATTTTTGTAGCATCGTTGATCTTAGTTCACTGTCATGGAATAGGCCTCAGGGGCACTCCTGGCCAGGCATTGCCTAGGGATCCAGCTTTGGGCTGTGAAGTTCTTGTGACCACGGCCCCTCCTACCCAGTGATGGCCCCTTGGACTTCTGCTATCCCTGCAGATCACTGCTGTGTCTGCGCCCGGGGCACAGGACTGTGAATTGCCATTCATTTCCACATCCTGCTGATGTTTCCCTACAATGTGGTCTTCAGCGTGGAGACTGTCATTCCATCTCTAAAGGCGCTAGGCACTGCCAGCCCCCAGCCCAGTCCCCCACCAACGGACACCATGCAAGGGGGCTGGCCACGCCAGAGTCACATTCCCTGCCTGATATGGACCCTGCTGGTCACTGCTCACACCCGCCCTGTGACAGGATCATGATGATTTAACCCAGTGGAACTGGTGAGGCACAGAGAGGCTAAGGACCAAAGAGCCAGGCTGGGTGCAGTGGCTCACAACCAAATTCCCAGCACTTTGGGGGGCCAAGATGGTCAGATCGCTTGAGGTCAGGAGTTCATGACCAACCTGGCCAACATGGTAAAACTCCATCTCTACTAAAAATACAAAACAAATTAGCTGGGCATGGTGGGACTTGCTGTAATCCCAGCTACTTGGGAGGCTGAGGTGGGAGGATCGCTTGAACCTGGGAGGCCGAGGTTGCAGTGAGCAGATATCTCACCACTGCACTCCAGCCTGGGCAACAGAGTGAGACTCCATCTCAAACAAACAAAAAAGAAACAAAGAGCCAGGTCACACGGACAATGAGAGGGTGGAGTTCCACTCTAAGGTGCATCTGCTGCTCCTGTGCTCTGCTGGGAGGGACACACCCCAAGTAAGAACTCTGCTTGTCTACAGCACTTCACCATTGCCTTTGTCCTGTTAATCCAGGGAAGCATTTAAATGCTTGATCTCTCCTACTGTGACTGGAGAGGCCATGGGAGAGTGGATGCATGCTGGCTCTAGATGGCTCCAGGTGCTGCAGGTGCTTCCAGGTGGCCAGAAACTTCATCAGCACACAGGGGCGCTGGTGCTTTCCATAGAGTCAGTGTGCCAGAGCAGGAGGCGGGCACTGGGGCTTCTGGACTTCACCTCTTTACCAAGCTGCACACTGTAACGCTCCCTGATGTGCAGCTGAGGAAAGAGCTCCACCCGGCGGCTGTGACCGAGGCCCGAGCAGCAGCATCTTTTCCAGCCCTGGCCCCAGCCCCGGTCCCTGTGCTTGGCTGCTGCGTGGGACATTCATTCACCCTCAGGGCTTAGCGCTCAGAACGCAAGAACCCTGTCCTTGAAGTTTGCATGCGCAGGCACCTCTGGTCCTTCCCAGGGTGGCTGGTGAGGGGCGTGCAGGAGGGAGATACTGCTTTGATGGAGGGTGGAGGGTCCCCTGAGTTGGCCCAAACTGCTCATGTCCCTCTGTCTGGCTTCTCTGAGGCCTTTCTTTGTGCATTCCTTGAAGCAGTAGGCCGGTCCAGGCCCTGTTGTGAAAGACATTCCTAGTGAAACCAAATGTCATATCACGCTGCCAAGTCTGAGATTCAAATTCCTCCCTTCACTCCTCAGCATCTGTCCCCGGGCTCTCGGGAAGAAAAGTGGTTCAGGGATAGGTGATCCTGACGATGATCTCCTGGCATTAATATTTCTAATGCCAAGGTTTTGAAAAACATTTTTAAGTTTCTAAATATCTTCTGTAAAGCTAAGCCTGCGCTCAAGGGAAGTCATTACAATGACTTAGCAAAGAGGTGCTCAGGATTTTTTTTTTTTTTTAATGTGTAAAGTTGATTTTTGTTTGGGAGAGGATCACGGGTGGAAAGGAGAACTGAGAGCCTACTTCCTCCCTCCCAGCCATCACTGCCAGTCCTCAAGAGGCTTGGTCCCCTCCCCGGTGTCTGGAAGGCTCTTCCTGGAGGTTCCCAGACCTCTTGGCTCTGGTGATGGGAATGCCTGGCCTTCCTTGACTTTGGTCACAGAGCAGGAAGCCTTAGGGAGCACGCGGTTGTGCACCTTCACTTTTGCAGTGAAAAGTAACTGAGGACCAGAAAGATGACATGCAGCCAGTGTGGGGCTGAGTTCCGGAGCCTGGGATTTGTCCTGGGGCCTCCTTATCTCCAATGGGAAGAAAACCATCTTGGCTATGAGTCGGGGATCTCAGGCACAGGTGCTTGCAGAAAGCTGTTGACCTTCCTTCTTTGGGTTTTCCACACCTAACGAGGGGAGATGTGACATTTGTCAGGTGCGGCTCAGGCATGAAGCTAAGCGGGACAGCTCAGAGTGTTCAGATCATGTGCCTGAGAGCATGTCCCCGGGCTGTAACAGCAGTGCATCTGTGAGGTCCAATACCCGAACCACACGTGGCTATTAATTCAAATTACATGGTGTTCAAAGTCCAGTCCCTTGGTCACGGTAATCACATTTCAGAGCCACACAGGGGGTACTGGATGGCACTGTCATGGCAGAGCCTTCCAGTGACCAAGCCACTCTGGAGCTGCCCCCATGCCAGCCTCCCCTGGAATCTGTTAGCAATGCTGATTCTCAGTCCCAGCCCGGACCTTATAGATCAGACTCTCCGGCAGGGGTGGGGGAACTGCCACCCCGTCTCCACAGCTCTCCCAGGATTTGGATGCAGCTCGAGTTTGAGGACCACTCTCTGAGTCATCTGGAGAGCATGCTGATAACTCAGTTTCATTTCTGTGGCCAGATCAAGTAGTTTCATTTCTCTCCCTGTTTGTTGGTGACGGAGCAGGGGAGGGAGTGGTTCACACACCACATAAAAGTGAAGTGGAGGAAAGGGAAGAGATGATTTCTCCATCCTGGACGTGCAGCGGTAAGAACGGGGCCAGTGCAGGGAGGGCTGCTTTGTGTCTGATGCACAGCAGATGCGCATTTAAAAAATATTTCCCTAGTGACATGACATCTGCTTGGTGAACGTGGCATGTGCTGGGAGTCGGGAGCCGTAAAGATAAGATTCTGATGCTGCCTCTGGTGTGAGGCTCAGAAAGAACCCATGTTGCCTCCAGCCCACAGTAGCCCTGTGCACAGAGAGACTCTGGAGGGGAAGTGGCTGGCCCTGGGGACAGGGTGGCCTCCATCCTGATCTGGCTAAAAGTTGGGTGAACACAAAAGGGTGGTTTTTAGGACAGCTTTGCTCAGCGTTCTACAAAGTCTGGGGGTTAAATAAGGAGCATTGTGCCCCAAAAGCTGTCTCGGAGGGCTTCAAGTGTTCCTTCTTTTGTGGTATTTGTGATGCTCTGACGTGACCTTGGTGACGGTCATATGCTGGGAAATTGGCTGTCATGGGGCAGGGCGGGGCGGGGCAGGGGGTGGTGCCTGATTTCTAGCCTTTGCAGATTCTCTTCTGTTCTCATGGTGTGAATGTTCCCACCGTGGCCAGTTCCCAGCCAGTAGGGGCCAACTCCAGCACTCTGGACCACCGCACCCTGGATCGCCTGCACTCTGGGGGCTGAAGTCCATTTTATAATTGATACAGAGTGGAAAGGAGACATGGTGGTATCAATGATGCCTTTTTTTTTTTTTTTGAGACAAGGTCTCGCTCTGTTCCCTAGGCTGGAGTGCAGTGGTGCGATCATGGCTCACTGCAGTCTCAAGCTCCCGGACTCAAAGGATCCTCCCACCTCAGCCTCCCAAGTAGCTGGGACTACAGGTGTGCACCACCACACCTGGTTCATTTTATTTTATTTTTAATTTTTGTAGAGACAAGGGCTCTCTATGTTGCCCAGGCTGGTCTCAAACTCGCTTGCTTAAGAAGTCCTTATGCCTCAACCTCCCAAAGCACTAGGATTACAGGCGTGAGCAACCCCATTCGGCTTTGATGACACCTTTTGAACACTGTTCTTTCTTATTTTGTGTTTAGAATGTTGTCTGCAGCAGTTTAAAAAGATCAGCATTCCAAGCTATCTTTCCTCGAACCCTCTCCTCCTTTTACTCTGCTCTACTTCCCACCCCCCTCCCACCCTCGGAAGCACTTTTGACTCCCTTTGGATGTGCAGTTCTTTTTTCTTTCTTTTTTCTTTTTCTTTTTCTTTTTCTTTTTTGAGACAGGGTCTTCCTGCTCTGTTTCCCAGGCTGGAGTGCAATGGTACTGTAGCAGGACGAGCCGCAGACAAAACTCCTCAGACAGGATTAAAGAAGGAAGAGGTTTTTTATTCGGCCGGGAGCGTCGGCAGACTCGCATATTAAGAGCCGAACTCCCTGAAAAAGAAATACTTGGCCTTTTTAAAGGCTTACAACTTTAAGGGGTCCACATGAAAGGGTCGCGATAAATCGAGCAAGCATGGGAAACGTGACTGGGGGCTACATGCATCAGCTACAGAACAAAAAGTTTTACAATGCTTTTTTCATATGGTGTCTGGAATCTACAGATAACACAAGTAGTTTAGGTAAGGGGTTGATGTTATTATTACTACTTTTTTTTAACTTCTAGGGCCAGGTGGTGGTGTCAAGGTTGTCGGCTATTTATTTTACTTTTGTTTCTTTCTCTCTTTCCTCCTGTCTTGTGAACTAGGCAAGGTGGGGGGAGGAGGGCAGCAGAAGTAGTAGTGGTCTCCTTCCTTATTCCCCGCTTTGAGAATTTTCACTAATTAGTGGGAGTTCTCACTTTTCTTTTTACTTTTTGAGTCTCTTTGCGAGACAGAGTGATAGTGTTTTATGTAATACACTTATGCTGAAGTTTTCTGATGAACCATGATAGCTACAAAACCTTTTATCATTTGAAGGAGCAAGTGTAATACACAGGGGAACAGCAAGCAAGTTTCTATTGCTAGTAATATATTTATAATGAGGGTTTTAAATTTTTATAGCTGGAAACTATTTTCTAAATGAAGACCTAGGATCAAACCTGTGTTAAACCCGTGCATTGCTAATTTTTTTTTTTTTTTACACTTAGTCTTTCTTTCTCTTTTGCTCTTTCCCAGTTTTGTTCCTTGGTTACAGTTAACATACACCTTGGTGGCCACTTTTATAGACTAGGTGGTATTCATGCAGCTTCTGCTTGATGTTACCCTGGGCTTGCTTTACAAATGAAGTATTCACTATATACTGATTTTCAGCAGCCTCAGGGTTAAATGCGGTGTAAAACCAGAATGCTTTATAGAAGCTCTTTTAAAACTGACTTAGACTTTTGTCAGCTCCTTGAAGCATTACTGAAATCTTTTCTTATATTACTTGCTTTTTTCTACCAACTCTTAGCTTCTGCAGAAGTGCTTCTCAGTACCTCTGCAAACGCTGAAGCTGAGTTGCATTCTCTGGGTGTTTTTTTCCCTTTTTCCTAGAGTTTAACAGGCTCTTTTCTTTATATAATTCTCCATGCACTTGGAGGGTTAAACAGGCATTATACCGAGAGTCAGTGTAAATGTTTACAGTCTTACCTTCACTGAGTTCTAAGGCCCGAATTAAAGCAATGAGCTCAGCTTAACGATAGTGTCCAGGGTTACCACCGCATATTCTGCACATCTCTCTCCGTGTGGGTTGATGAAGCTGTTCCCATCCACGTATAGCTCCTAGTCTACTGATGCCCAAGGTTGGTCCCAGAGATGAGGTCTGCTAGAGTAAACTTGAGTCCAACACCTCTACACAGTCATGCTCGACAGGGCTTTAGCTGCCAGGAGCAAGGTGGCGGGTTGAGGGTGTTTCCAGTTTAGTAGATCAATGGTTGAAAAGGGCTGATAGATGAAAGTCTGTTGCCCCCATGGATGTAGGCCTGGTCATTATAATAGACAGGTCCTTGGGTCTCCCTGAGAGGCATTTGCATAGCTGGAGCAAGACCAGATCTGAGACGGCCCACTTGACTATCTTGACTTCCTTCCTTGGCCTCTTGAGGCTCCGATCCTCCCCTTCGAGGGGAGACCTGGGGCGTGTTAGCTCCCGAATCTCATTTCTGAGGGGGTTGTTGGCCTCGGTAAAGCGGAGTAGGCTAGGATATATGGAGAAAGAATTTCTATTATCTCTGGCAGCTCCTGTGAAACTGGCTTCTCTCGCTGTTTCTGGGACTCCCTTTTTTAACTCTGTGTCTGCTGGTGAAGCTGCTCTTACTTTTGCTTTTGACTTTTTTTGCAATAAGCTGTTAAACAGGGCTAAATTTATGCTGGTTTTGTCTATATTGTATTTAACCGTGAGTCAATATAAAGGAATTGATCTAGGTACACTGGCTGTCCTCCGACCCGTCACCACCTTAAATACATGGCCAATTGTTCTCTGTCTATAGTTCCTTCGGTGGGCCATCCAACACCAAAAGAGGGCAGTTCTTTTTTTTTTTTTTTTTGAGATGGAGTCTCGCTCTGTCGCCCAGGCTGGAGTGCAGTGGCCGGATCTCTGCTCACTGCAAGCTCCGCCTCCCGGGTTCACGCCATTCTCCTGCCTCAGCCTCCCGAGTAGCTGGGACTACAGGCGCCCGCCACCTCGCCCGGCTAGTTTTTTGTATTTTTTTAGTAGAGACGGGGTTTCACCGTGTTAGCCAGGATGGTCTCGATCTCCTGACCTCGTGATCCGCCCGTCTCGGCCTCCCAAAGTGCTGGGATTACAGGCTTGAGCCACCGCGCCCGGCCTAAAAGAGGGCAGTTCTAATTCACACAGAGATCTGAACCTCTAAGGGGTTAACTTAACTCTATAATCTCCTGCAAAACCTTTCTTAAGGTTCTGTAACATGCATTTTAATAGAGTAAGTTTTGATGATTTGATGACTTTCCTTTTTCCTTTTTGAAATTTTTCTTTTTGAAATGTTTTAACACAGTTCCTAGCGGAGTGGCCTTACTTTGTGTCTGACCTATTTTTCTCTTGAGACAAAACAACATTCACACTACAAGAAGGAAAGGGTAAAAGATCACTCACTCATCTAATTTACACTAAATCAGAATCAAAACTAAAACCAAAGTGTTGTTAGAGGCACACCTATTCGTCAAGCAATTTAAGCCAAGTCAAAAGCAGAACCAAAACCAAAGTGCCAATAAAGGCACGCCTGTTTATCAAGCAATTCAAGTCAAAAACAAAACTAAACCAAAATATCAAGCAATTAATTCAAGTCAAGTCAAAAAAAAAAAACCAAAATGCCAGTACAGGCACGCCGTGGGTGATCAGGCCACGCTTCCACTCAAATGGAGTGGGTGAGTTCCAAAGACCAGTCTTACCAAGTTTCAGATATCCGGACTTAAAGCGCCAGCTCCTTCCCGGTGTTCAGCCACTGTGTGGATCCTCCACGGGGGCCTGCTGTGCACTGCTCTGATGAGGCGTTCCACCGGGGCAAATGCCTACCCGGGAGTGCTCTCAGGATCCACATCACTCAAGCTGGCCAGAGTCTCAGCCTCCCAAGGCCAAGGCCAAGGCTAAGGGAGGACAGGACAATTGTCTCTCTCACTCTTGAACAAGAGAGAGCTCCTGGATTCACCAGGAGAGCAAATTTGACTAGCTTGGACTTCTGCAAGGTAATTTGTTGTGATTGCATATTCACGAGACTAATACAATCTTAACATAATTTATTTATATTAAGGAGATTAAATAAAACCATGGATATGTTCTTGAGTGAAATTTTATTTAAAAAAAAAAACGGAGACCTTTTCCATGGGACCATATTTCTTTTGACACTCCTAGGAGGCAGGCAGGACCATGTTAAGTGGCTGTTTTGCAGTGAATGATTCTATGGGGAAACCCGAATAAGATGGTAATGTAGGAAAGTGTCTGATGCAGAACCTGTCAATGACTAAAACTGGAAGACGCAAAGCAGCCTGCTAGTGTGGGAGCTGCAACAAACCAAATCCCTTTTTTTATTCTCAATCAGAAGGAGGGACTTTCCAAGCTTGATCCTCTAAGAAAAATGGATCCCCTCCTATTTTCTTACCAATTTTCAATTTATCCAGAATGCATACTTCTCAGTCTTCAGACTCCTGGCCTGGTCACCCCTTGAAAATATTTGGCAGCTCCCTGGTTTAACAGTTGCCTCGAAGTTGACAGCAACTCCAAATCTTGCGGCTCAGCAGTACAGAGTCATTCGTTCCACGAAGAGCTGACCATTCCAGCTCACCTGACCTCGCCTCTCCTCTGGGTCCACTGCATGTTATCAAGGCCTTGCTCTCCTTCCTTGGATCCGTCACCCCCTACCTGGCCCTCGGTAGCTCCTTCCTGGATTCTGGCCTCACCTTGTTCCTATCTTTGTCTTAACTCTTAACCTGGGTGTCCCCTGCACCCTGACAGCCACGTCGTCTTCTCCCTTCTCTTCTCTCACCAGCTGTCTTCTTGGTTTTTCAGTTCCTCTCTCTCAAGACCTGCACTTTCTCTTCAAGTCAAGGTCCATGGCGCCCGTGGTCTGCATTTGTACCAGGCTCCGGAAGCTCCCACGTGGGGACCGAGCCCTGGAGAGGAAACCACAGTGCAGTGGCTGCTGAAAGCAGAGGCCTGCGTCCCCAAGCCGCCTAAGCCCCCCACTTCCATTCTCTCCTGCCTGTGTGCAGAGTCCGAGTCCCGCCTGTCCATGTGTCACCTGGTCTTCTGTGTCTTCTCCGTGAGCTTGCAGGGGCACCCAGCCAGCCCACGGGCTCCCGAGACAGTCCACTCGCGCAGACGCACTGTAGCCATCTCTGAAGATTGCGTAGGGGAGACAGATGGTTCACCAGGTACACACCACACAACCTGAAACCTACATTCCTTATTCTACAGGCCTATGTCAGAAAATCCTCCCTAAACTGCAATGGGGAGGGGGACTGAGGTACTTCTCATCCCCTACATGTCACCCCACTGCTCACTCCTGCCTCCGACCTTCACACATGGTCACTCCTGCAACTTTTCACCCCTTTATTTTGCAGAGCAATCTGTGTCCAGCTCCTGTCCTCTCAAACTTAATAATCAGCTCATGATATGCTTAGCAAGACCTGCCCTTCATGAAAATAAGGGTGAGGGTGGCGACAGTTTTAAACATGTTTTAAAAAGAACATGAGATGAAGAATATTGGACTTCAATATTGGACTTATTGAAGAATATTGGACTTCACAAAAGGACCCTCCTTTCCCTTGTTCTTTCTTCCCATGGAGAGGAAGAAGTCGAGGCTGAGTTACCACGTCCCATCAGTACTCACTTTTGTTCCTGACTTCGTCACCAAAGGCAGCTGGCTCCAGCTCTCAGCCTTTGAAGGATATTGTGACTGGGGTTTCAGAGTCCCAGGCTCCCTCCCACACAGACAGGTGGAGTGAGGCCACCTGAGATCTCAGCTGCTAGGGCGGGTGCCAGCAGGCACACTGAGCTGCTGGGTCCTGGCCAGGCCCTCCTGTACCCCCTGAGAAAGTCTCCACAGGGCTGGGAGCTGTTTGTGCCATCTCTCAGTGATCCCATAAAATTGCTGCCTAGCCCTTCTGGTTTCACAGATTTCACATCAGAAAACTTTTTATGAACCCAGGGCTAGTTCTGAAAACAGGAAGTGCTTTCAGCCCCCGTGGGAGGAGGGGGGTGCAGGAGGCCTGTGGAGCTGGACCTCTGGGAGCCAGGCTGGAGAACAGGGGCTGAAGGCTGAGTGGCCGCAGGGCCATTCACACAACCATGGTCTTTCCTGCGAGTGAGTGGGGCCCCGGGTGGGGCTGCTGAGCCCAGGAACAGCTGGTTCTGCTGGAAGATCCGCCCGTCTGAGGCTGCGGGGGGAGGGTGCAAGACAGGGCAGAAGCTCATTAGGAAAGGTTGAGACAGAGGGTCTGAGTGAAGATTCCGCTGCAGAGGGAGCAGTCCAGGTCAGCACAGGGTGACATGTGGGGATGAGGCTGGCGGGGGCATGGGGCAGCTTTTTGAGCCCAGCAGTGTAAGCAGTCTCTGTCCCAAGGGAGGAAAGCTGCTGAGAGCTGCTGGGCCAGCAGATGGGAGTGTGGGGCTGGCCTCAGGGCTTCTGGAAGGGGTATTCCGGAGAAGTGAGGTGCTGCTCTGGGACTGTGGTGCCCCAGGGGCCTTCCCTGCAGGGCACTCTCAGCAGCCACCTTTGGTAGAAGCCAGGATCACCCTGCATGGGGGATGATGCTGCACCCAGCACGGAGCCTTGTAGTCAGTCACTTTCCTCTCTCCACAACTGCAAGTACCTCCCTGCCCGCCACCCCCACCCCGCCCCCGCCCCCGCTGTGGCTGTGCATCTAGCAGGGGACAGTACCATCAGCAAAGTCTGGGAACTTCCAGGGAGCCCGCATCCCCCTCAGCCTGCCTTTAGCCAGAAAATATTCCAAGCTCTGCTCTCTAATTTGGAAAGCCAATGTTTGTATTTGGAGATTGTGTTGCTAGACTCGACAAGGGTAACAAAGCAACAGGAAGTGTTCCCCAGAGCTCAGGCGCCGACTTGCGTGGCTCAAAGCTGGGTGGTCGTCCATCCCACTGTGGCGGGTGGATAAAGGTTCTTTTCCTGGACTATATCATTCCAGCCAGAGCAAGGGATAAGCCTGTGATAGCCGTGAGTCAGGAACCACTACCAAGGTCAAAGACCCTGAAGTTAATTGTTGGAACCTGCAGCACTAACTCTTCCAGCAAAGCTACTTCTGTGAAAGCTGTGAAGAGCAGAGGAAATGGGACAGGAGAGGAGCTGAATCCTGCAATTGTATCACTAGGAGCCCCCAAAGTACGATGATGGTCCTCAGGCCAGCATGGGGGTGCATTGGCACCATGTAAGGAAAGGGGCCCTCACATGGCACAGTTGGGATGGGGCAGTGTGGGGATGTTCAGAGATAAAAGTTTCCCGTGAGCTCTGTTTCAGCAAACAGTGATGACCACTTTGGCAACTTCACAGTCTTGCTTTCCTGCACGTGGACATTTTTCTTCATGCATGTTCCTCTTGCAAATGGTTCCATTGTTTGTATAATTGTATTTCGTGAGTGGAGAAGAGTTGGAAGCAAAAATCATGACTGTTCATGAGAAATGTAAGTCTGTGGTAATACTGCCTTTAATGAAATCAAGAGCAGATCTAAAGGGATGTGAAAAGCATCAGGATGGTCATATAGGAGGCAGGATCGTTCCCCCCAGACCCCGGCCATGCCGGTTGTGTTTTATGGTAGGAGTGATTATGGCAGCCTATGTGTGTGGGGGCATAAGAATACTTATTCTATGGATCTTAAGGTAGCTATGTGTTGGCATTATGTGTTAGAAAATGCATAGCATGGAATTCAGTAAGGGAATGCCCACGGTTTGTGTGGTTCCTGGAGTTAGAAATGGGTGGCAGATCCAGCAAGAGGCAAGATTTCCAAACAGACTGCTGAGTCATTCTTAGGGTGGGTTAGGAGAAAATGTGCTTTGGTCTAAAGGAGGGAGGAAGAAGTCAAGAACAAGTAAATTATAAAACGTGGTTGCAGGATTGAAATCTGATCCTGAAAAAGAGAGAACAGCCATGAGTATAATGTTTAAAAATGCACACAAAGAAAACCACTGTGGTGGAAGTCACAAGAAGTTCAATCATTATCTGGTCTCGTCATCGGGAGTGGAAGCTGCCCACTCCCGAAGCCGTCTGCTTGGTCCACAGCTCTTAGTTTTTGCATCTGGAGGTTTTGTGGTTAGTCCTGGTTTGAGGTCACTGGAGCCGTCCCATTGGTCTGGGTTTGTTGCCTGTTTCTACTCTCTCATGGGCACTTGGGTCCACACCTTGAATCTTGACCGCCCTGGCATTTGTTCGGAGGACCTGAAATGGCTCCTTCCAAAGAGGTCTGAAGAGTTTTTGCCTCGAGGTCTCTTCCAGCGGACCCAGACCAAGCTGGAGGTCAGAAAAATTTGGCTGGCATTTCCTCTGACTGCCATTTCCTTTGGGCACAAGACTTCATGTGTGAGGCTAATCCTTGACAATGCTTTACTGTGTACATGAAATGGAGCGGAGCCAGGCCTTGCTGAAGTTACTCCTGGTCGTGTACAGCATCCCGTTATGATCTCATGGGGCGCCGGACTAAGTGAGCACTCAGAGACGGTCACGCCAATAGCCTATTATATCCTCGACTTAGGAGTTAAGGAGTAATCTTCTGCTTACAGATAGAGGCCAAGACTGCGTGGCCAATAAAGCTGGTGGCAAAACTCAAGGCCCAGAGAGATGGAGGGCTTTTTATAGTTAGGGAATTTCAGTTTCGCTTTGTGATTGATTTTGTATTTTGGGAACACCGAGGGCGATTCAGACACAGTGAAGTGTCTGTGTTGGAAGAAGGACCCTCCGGGACAGTAATTCCACAGTCTTTTGACAGGAAGATAGGTATTATCCATGCTGAGAACAGAAAGTCTAGCAAGAGGTAGACTTGCAATCATGAATCCATGGCTCTGAATCCTATCTCACCTTCACAGTCTTGCCTGGATTATATTGGTTGCAGATGAGATATGACTCTACCACTTCCTAGGCCAACTCCAGAAAATTTCCTGACCAATATGCATTGCATGTAACATTTAATTTACCTTTTCCATGATGCAAACAATTATGGAGTAATTTAGCTAGGAAGGCTCATGGCACTCAAAGGCAGGTGTCCTGAGATGACCAGATTCCACCTTTATCGAGAAAGCATTTTTGAGATTGCCAACATTACTTGCCAGAAGTTTGCATTGATTATTTTAAGTCAATTATAAATGGATCCAATTTTTTTTCTGAAAGTTTGATGGGTAGATATCAATTACTATTTTACAACTATAATATAGTGTTTAAAGCTACTTTTTAACATGAAGTCAATAAGGACATTGCCCTTGACTTCTGCAATGGCTTCTCAACTAAAAGCTTCTACTTTAGTATCTGGTACCTCCTCTGGATACTGGGTAGCTTCTAAGTTACTGATCCCTTACTTTAATGTGGACAATCACATGCTTCCATAGCATCCCCAAATCATAAGCAGCTCCAAATGCCCATCTCATCTATTCTGGGTATAAATGTTTATTTTTTTATCTCTTAAAATAATGTGACTTGGAGTCAGGACTACAGCTTATCCACTGGGTTATATCTCACATTAGGAGATAGAACATTTTGATGGGTGAATGATAGTTTCCTATACAGGAAATGCTTTTGCCGTTTTTATTGTTTTTTCCTCCACAGCCTTTATTAAGCTCCTACTGTATGCCAGGTACTTTGAGCTGCAGGTACAGCTGTGAAAAAAACAGGTAAAAATCCCTGCCCCCCTGGGGGCCTTATTGCAGCTGGGGAGAGACGAAACAGGCAGAATCCATCAGGAAAGGTATCGTGCAGATGTTGGGAATGCAGCTTTTGACTGTTGCCTCCCCGATCAGATCCTCAGCTCTAAAAATGGTGGCAATGTCTCCCGGCTGGCTATCCAGAGCCCGGCACACAGTAGGCGCTCAGTGAATGTTTACAGAGTGGAGGAAGACTTACACTGACTCAGGAACTGTGGCTCAGAGAGGGCAAGGGACCCAACCAGGGGAGCCATGGAGCTTAGGCAGATAAATTGGGTGTGGCAAGAGGGGGGTCTGCCAGGCCCAGGAGCCCTGGCTGTCACCAATGCACGATGTGACTTGGGGTGAGCCACACCCTCTCTGTGCCTTGTTGGCAGTGGTGGGAGTGGTCATTAGGATGACGGTGTCCTGGAAGCTGAAGCCCATACGGGCCATGGCCTTCCAGGCTCCAGGCAGCCCAAGGCCCTTTGGAATTCTGCGGCTTCCCCTCTAGCTGCTCTGGCCACAGATCTTCCTGCTCTCCCCAGCTCCCCTCTGCCCCTCAACCCCACAGCCGGCCATTAGCTGACTTGTTGATCATGACTTCAAAGCATCCAGAATCCAGTCGGCTCTCACCTCCCCCACTGCCCACTGCCATTGTTTCCCAAAGGGTGTTATCCCTAGGCTTGTCTTTTAGCGCCCCCCAGGAGAAAAGAGGACTTTAAACACAGAAAGAGAGCTAGGCACCAAACCTCAAGCAGGCCTTGCTTTCCCAGGCTCTCGAATTTAAAAAAAAAAAAAAAAAACAGACAGAGACAGGCAGGCATCCTCCCAGCCGGGCCTTGGTGGCTGTGCCGTAGCCCCTTCTCAACAGCAGGCAGGAGCCAGCCCTGGGACAGGTTCCACACACTCACTAAGCACCACCTCCTGCACAGCCCAGTCCCTGCTCTCAGCCTGACCAGGCCCAGCAGCCCTGCCCTCCCAAGAAAGGGGGTGGTGAGAAGCCTAGCGTCCCCTCCGCAGAGACCAGTGCCACACATGACCACCACACATGACAGTGTTGGTACCAGCACCCAGTCTTTGAGCCACAAGTGTCTGGCATGCTGCTGAGCCTTTATATAAGTAGTTGTATGGAACCCTCCCACATCCTCAGGAGGAATGGTCAGCCCCATTTTCTAGATGGGGAAACTGACACCCAGAGAGATTTCAGCACATGCTATGGGTCCCATTTACAGCCCTTGTGCTGGACGGCCCCAACCCTGCTTTCTAATTCTTTATCCCAAATCCAGGTTGCAGGCCTTGTCTTAGGGAGATGGTGCTGTACCCTGCCTGTGGAGGACAGTCTGCCTCCGTCTAGCCCCGCCCTGCCCCTCGCCGGGTGGAGCCTCCTTAGAGGCTCGTGCATGGCTTTGGGATTACGGGCAGCAGGAGTCAGGTCTGGGCTGCTGAGCAGAGACGGCAAAGGCCCCGACAGCAGACCCCACGAGGATGACTGGGCTCCATCCTACATGCACCTTGTAATGAGCCACATGGAAGCACGTCCATCTGAGAGGTGGGAGAAGGAGGGAGCTGTCTGCAGGTCCCTCCGGGTCGGGGGTTGCCCCGGGGCTAGCTTCCCACTCCTCCAGGCTGCCATGCTGAAAGCCAGCAGGTGTCTCAGGTAGCAGATGTGGCAGGTTGCTCGAGGGAGAAACTCTGGACGCATGAGATCCAGTAGTACACAGCCTGAGTCCTGTGGCCTGGCCCAACTGTCCCAAAGCCCCAGGACTCTGACCATGTGTAAACCTTATCTCTTCTTAATGCCCTCCCTGGTCCAGGGTTGTGTCCTTTATTGTACTTGGTCTCCTTATCCTCAAGGATGCCCATCACGCCACTCTCCAGCTCAGAACCCTCCAAAGGCCTCCCTCACACCCACGTGCAATGCAAGGCCTCTGCCCACATCTTGCAAGCCTTGGTCCTCCCTCTTTTTCCCCAGTCACACTGACGATCTTCCTATTCACTGAGTTCATTCCGACCTCAGGACCTTTGCACGTGCATTTCCTTTGTTGGGGAGACTGGTCCCCAGTTCCTCCAAGCCTTGCTCCTCTGCCCATTCCGGGGCACACCCTCCAGTGGGCACCCAAGTTACCCTCACCCCAGAATCTCAAACCTACCACCTGTCTTTCTCCAGACACTCCATCATCAGCTGGAGTCCCTTGTTGGTTGGCGTATTTGTTTTGGCATTTCCCTGCTAGGATGGTGTGCCTGGAGTGAGGGCTTGGTCTGACTTGGTCACCATGATATCCACGTGGTGGAAAGTGCCTGGCACATTCAGACTCGTACCCTTGTATGAGTCTGCTCAGGCTGCCATGGCAAAAGACCACAGACGCAGTGGCTTAGACAACACGCATTGGTTCTCTCACAGCCCTGGAGGCTGGAAGTGCCAGATCAGGTGTCGTGTCGGCAGAGCTGGTTCCTTCTGGAGGCCCCGGGGGTATCTGTGCTCTCCTTCCAGCTCCTGGTGGCTATGGCAGAGGCCTTGGCCTTCCCTGGCCTGGGCTGCAGCCCTGCAATCTCTGCCTCTGTCTTCACAGGTTCTTCTCCCTGTGTGTCTCTGTGTCCCAAATCTCCCTCTGCCTGTCTCTGATAAGGACACCTGCAATGAGATTTAGGGCCTATTCTAAATCCAGGATGATCTCATCTCACAATCTTCACCTTAATTATATCTGCAAAGAGTCTTTTTCCAAAAAAAGTCATATTCCCAGGTTCCAGGTGAACATAAATTTTGGGGGGACTGTGGGGACACCATTCAGCCTCCTGGATCCACCTTACTGCTAGAGGAAAGGGGGATACAGTGCGAGCCAGAGTGTGGGGGGCTCCTCCCTGGAGCACAGGCCCAGCTCTGAGTCCTGGCTTAGGCATCACTGGCCCTCCCAGATGTCAGTTTCTTGACCCTGAAAAACCAGATAAGGGCCAAATGCATAGACTTGTTGTGAAACTTAAATGCATGTCTCAGCACGGTGCTGCCCTCATCTGAGTGCAGGCCACAGCCTGAGAACTGGGGCTGAACACCTGCTTCTCCCACACTCCCCCAGTGCCTGGCCAAGCCTGGGTGTGAGGCCAGGTCTGGCTTCCAGCAGGCCCAGGAAGTGTTGCCTGTCATCTCTGCACACCTCATGGTTCTCCTGCCTGGTCCTGACCACAGGGGCCTGATGCCATAGATGACACAGACCATCAGAGGTGACAAAGGAGACTGGGTGTGGTGGCTCACGGCTGTATTTCTAGCACTTTGGGATGCTGAGGCAGACAGATTGCTTGAACTCAGGAGTTTGAGACCAGCCTGAGTAACATGGCAAAAACCCATCTCTATAAAAAACACAAAAATAAATAAATAAAACTTGTTGGGCATGGTGGTGCATGCCTCTAGTCCCAACTACTTGGTAAGCTGAGGCAGGGGGATTGCTTGAGTCCAGGGAGGTTGAGGCTGCAGTGAGCCCTGATTGCACCACTATGGTCCCCACTGGGTGACAGAGTGAGACCCTGTCTCAAAAACAACAACGACAATGACAACAACAAGTAACAAAGGAACATTGAGACTCTCTACCGGGCACGTGGAGTCCACTGCCCCCTGTTCCCCAAGCCCGGGCCGGTAGAAATCCACTTGTGCTCTCTGGTTGCCAAGAGCCCCTTCGGCAGACAGGGGACCTGCACCGGACCCCTGGTCTCTGCATCTGTGTGTAGAGGGTAGGTTGTAGGGTGGGGTGAGGAGGGGTTGGCAAAAGTGCCACCTTGGGGAGGACTTCTGGTGACCTGTGGGCCGCTTTCCCTCTTGTGTCTTTGCAGAGCTTGTCAGGAAGATTGGAGGTGCCAAGTAGCAGAGAAAGCATCCCCCAGCTCTGACGGGGAGACAGCACATGTCTAAGGCCCACAAGTCTTGGCCCCACCGGAGAAGAAATCAATTTTCTTCCCAACGCTCCCTGAAAAAAGAAATGAATTTCTTCCAGCAACAGCCACCGCCATTCCGCACAGCGCCACCACAAATGATGTTTCCCCCAAACTGGCAGGGGGTAGAGAAGGACCCTGCTTTCCTCACCAAGGACTTCAACTTGCTCACTTTGAACAATCAGCCACTACCAGGAAACACGAGCCAACCAAGGGCAAAGGTAAGCCCGGTGGAGGGACGTTTGGAAAGGGTGCATTCTGGCTGCTGGTGCAGAGGGCTGTCGTGTAAGCCCACCACGATAATAGAACCAGCCAGTCTGCTCCTCCAGCACAGCTGGTGTCTCCAGCTCTCCTGGTCACGTCCATCAAGTACCAGGAACGTACGCAGACTCTCCTGCAGCAATGGGCTGCTGTGACGTGGGTCTGGGGGCTTCTGTGTGTGGGGGACCCCTTCCTGGAGCTTTTCTTCCAGCTTCCCCTGCAGCCATCACATTGCCACCCTACCCACTTGCCACCCTTCCCAGCTCCGCAGTGCCCTGGCCCACAACCTCTTCTCCCTCTGACTGGAGCCTCTGCCTCTTGGAACGTCTTCCTGGCTCAGGGTTCCCAGCCCTTTCCCGGCAGGCACACCCTGCACACCTGCAGCCAAATCCTCCCAGCATCTGCCCCAGTGAGGCCTCAATAGGAACAGAACAGAAGGGCCCCTGCATGCAGCAGCACCCCTCCATCCACCTTCTCACCTCCTGTCTGCAACCCCACCTAACATCATAGCTGCACAAACTCTGCCACACATCCCCATGACACCAGGGACCCTACCAGGGATCAAGGCAGTGGCATCTGTTCTGCCTTCTCCAGGGGCCCGAGAACAACCTGCACAGCCAGTACGAGCAGAAGGTGCGCCCCTACATTGACCTCATTGACTCCCTGCGGGCTCTGGGTGTGGAGCAGGACCTGGCCCTGCCAGCCATCGCCGTCATTGGGGACCAGAGCTCAGGCAAGAGCTCCGTGCTGGAGGCATTGTCAGGAGTTGCCCTTCCCAGAGGCAGCGGTAAGTTCCAATGGACCACCTTCCCTCCGCAGCAAGCAGCGCCGCCTGTAAGCCACAAAACTTCCCCAGGCACCAAGAGGTTTCAGAGACAGGCTGCTGGGAGACACAGCCTCTGGAAGAGACATGCCTCTGGGAGAGACAGATGGCTGGGAGAGACAGGCCGCTGGGAGACAGGCCACTGGGAGAGACGGGCCACTGGGAGAGACAGGCTGCTGGGGGAGACAAGTCACTGGGAGAGATGGGAAACTGGGAGAGATAGGCCACCAGGAGAGACAGGCCCCTGAGAGAGACACACCTCTGGGAGAGACAGGCCACTGGGAGAGACACACCTCTGGGAGAGACACACCTCTGGGAGAGACAGGCCACTGGGAGAGACACACCTCTGGGAGAGACACACCTCTGGGAGAGACAGGCCACTGGGAGAGACACACCTCTGGGAGAGACAGGCCACTGGGAGGGCCCTAGGAGGGCAGCTTCTCAGGCTTGGTGGCAGAGGGCCGGATTCCCCATACATGTTTAAATAGCTCTCACTGCCTGTGTGTCAGTCAGGTCCAGGGACCTTGCCACTTCTTCCTAGTGGTCTTTGTAAGAATGTAGAAACATTTCTTTGATAGGGTTAAATTGATGCTTTGGGTGACAGGTGAAGTCTTCTTAAAGAATTTTCTTAATGTTTTGAAAATCCCTTATTTAGGATCGTGATATAAGACACCTTTTCCTTGGACAAAAATTTTTAAATCTGTGTACAGTGAAGAAGCTGTTGTACATTTATAATTTAATAAAATAATTATAAAGGATAATTATAAAGGCGCTACCCTCAGAGTGGGTACTGGAGAGTGTTTAGAAAGGAGTTTTTACAATGGGGTAAGCAGGGCGTGGGGAAGCCAGCAAGAAGCGTGTGGGACAGGAAGGGGAACAGCTTCCAGAACCCGAGAAGGAGCAGTGTGCAGGGGCCCTGGCAGGTGCGGCGGCAGCAGAGAGCACCCAGCTCCTTCTCCTCCCTGGCTCCGCTCTCCTGCCGCTGCTGCTTACTTCTCAACCCAACCAGAACCCTGGGGCAGGCGGGAGGCATCTGATGGTTTCTCCAGGGCTGCCCAGAGCAAGGTGGGGCTGCTGGAGGGCTGCCTGGATCCTCCAAACCCCCCTGCAGCAACCGCAAAGCTTCAGTGAGCCTGGGAGAGTGCCCCTCCCCTGGCCTCCCTGCTGCCACCTGCAGCCTGGTCCTTTACCCAGCGTGTCCTGTAAGATGCCCATCAGCCTGGGCACAAGGCAGGAGAGAGTAAGGGTGTGGGGAGGCCAGTCCTCCTCCGTGCTCTTGGTTCAGCATTTGGGGCAGCGAGACTCCAGAGTGGAGGTCTGAATGCCAGAGGGCAAGCATAGGACCCTGGGCGAGTTTCCTAGTTGGAAGATGGGACAATACCTCCCTATAGGCATGGGACAAAGGACACGGGTTCTCAGGGCTTCACGGCAGGAGCATGAGGGCCCCCACCCCAAGGAACTCAGCACCGCTCCCACCTTTCCTGGGTTCAGCAGCATCGGAGGATCCTGCCTCAAAGGGCGCTGTCAGGATTCCCCTTGCCCCTCCTTCGGGATGTCCGGCTTCTCCTCCAGGCTCTCGCCACCTTCTTCCCACTCCTTGAGAGGGGTTCCATGGCCCCTGGATGGGTCTCACTGCTCCACATTCCTGCTGTCCCCCACCCCGCATCCTAACCAGGGCTGCCCACCAGGACAGTTACAGAGCCTGGGGCAGACACCCGACATGCTGACTCCAGTTGCAGGAAGACGGAGAGCCTGGACATGTGCCAGAGCCCCAGCGTCCGCCTCCATCACTTCCAGGGCAGTGTGGTGGGGGCTGCAGCTGTGGTGGGGACTGTGGCTACAGCCGTTTGCTCATGTCCATCAGAGCTCAGGGTGCTTAGTCTGGTAGCGAACACTTCCCAAGGACAGTAGCACCTCCCAAGGACCTGTGCCCCTTTGCACCTGCTCAATCCAGAACCCCTCACCTACTACCAGGCCCCAGGGAGAGTCAGAAAGCTCAGACAAGGACTTTGAGGACAGCAGGGCAGGTCCTGGGAGCAAAGGGCCCAGCGCCTCTTCTTTTAAAGGAAACTGAGAATGTTTGGGGAACCTCTCGCTCAGGAATCGTAACCAGGTGTCCGCTGGTGCTAAAACTGAAAAAGCAGCCCTACAAGGCGTGGGCCGGAAGGATCAGCTACCAGAACACCGAGATAGAGCTGCAGGACCCTGGCCAGGTGGAGAAGGAGATACACAAAGGTGGGGCCACGTCATTCCAAGGTTCAGATCTGACAGCTGCTCCTCTCACTTCCTCGATTCCTTCTCTTCCTCAAATCACCCTCACAGTGACTGCTTACCTCCTAGCTCCATGTGCTCCCACATGGGGCTACCCCCATTGCTGTCGCCTCCACCATCCCTCCAGGTCCTTGTCCAGGTCCCCGCTCATCGAGCCATCCCATGCTGAGGACCCTCTGGTGGCTTCCCTTAGCAGCCTGCAGCCCACGTGGCTGACCTTGCCCGTCCTCTCCTCCCCCAGCCCAGGCTTTCTCCACTCCACAGGGTACTCACCCTCTCTTCCTTCCAGGCTTCTCCTCTTCACCTGCCCAATCCCTACTCGATCTTTGGCTCTCAGGTCACCTGTGCCCCCTTTGGAAGTGCCACTGCAGGACCCCTGGTCCCACCCCAGCTGTCACAACCGTGGCTTGTCTTCCTGAAGCTCAGCTCTAACCCTGGCCAGCCACCTTGTGGCCACCTTTCCTCCCAGCACCCCCTCCAAACGCAGACCCCGCTCACCCAGCTGTGGGACAAGTTTCCCAATGCTTGTTCTTGGCCATGGCTGATCAAAAAAATGCTCAGTTGCTCCTGCAGTCCACAGCCTTGTACCCCGACAGGCCCTGGTGGTTATGTCCCTTGGAGCGCACAGCCCTGCCTGCCCCAGGCACTGGAGCCTCTCACTCTCCCTAAAGGCTTCTCCCCTATCCTACTTGCACGCCCATCCTGGACTCAGCCAGGATAGATGGAAAAACAACCCTGAATGTACTAAGACTCCCTGCAGTGAGGAATTAAGTCCAAGGAAGGCCTTTTGCACTACTGGATAGCAAACTCAGTGCCTGAGCGGGAGCCCTTTAGATGACCCCACGGGCTCAGCCCTTTCCCAGAGAACCCCTGTCTGCCCGGATCAAATGACTTTCTGGAGGGCTCCCTTCCCAAATAGAGAAGTCTTCACCCCAATTTCACCCATAGCCCAGAACGTCATGGCCGGGAATGGCCTGGGCATCAGCCATGAGCTCATCAGCCTGGAGATCACCTCCCCTGAGGTTCCAGACCTGACCATCATTGACCTTCCCGGCATCGCCAGGGTGGCTGTGGGCAACCAGCCCCGGGACATCGGACTGCAGGTGAGCCCTTCTGGAATTTGGGATTGAGCTCAGCTGAAGTGGGGGAGGGGTCAGAGGTCCCCAGGGTCCTAGTGCACCTCCTGGAGCCTTTACACTGAGGGATGAGGATGGAGTCTCAGGTAAGACCCGCCCAGGTGGGGGCCTCATGCCCAGGTTCTGACTCGGGCTTGACAAGTCACAGAAAAAAGAGAGGTGGACTCTGGGGGACTGGCAGGCATATGGGACAGTGCACGCCCTGCCCAGTCATTCAGGACTGTGAGCCCAGTGTGACCAGCTGTGCTGATAGTCAAAAGAGGGCAGAAATTTGGATTTTTACATGAAACCTGTCCATTTTGCCAATATTTTAAAAAATGAATGTTACATAAGTCAGAACGTGGACTGTGGTCCCGGTCAGGGCAGGAGAGGCACAGGGGAGAGGGAGGGCGGCCAGGAAACAAGGACACACGTCAGCCAACAGCAGGGCTGTGGCTTCTCTGCCAACAACCTACCCATCTAAACATAAGGCCAGGCATGGTGGCACACACCTGTAATCCCAACACTTTGGGAGGCCAAGGCAGGAGGATCACTTCAGGCCAGAAGTTCTAGACCAGCCTGGGCAACATAGTAAGACCCTGTCTCTGCAAAATATAAACACAATTACCCGGGTGTGGTGGTGCATGCCTGGGGTTCCAGCTACTTGGGAGGCTGAGGTGCTAGGATCACCCAAGCCCAGGAAGTCAAGGCTGCAGTGAGCCATGGTTGTGCCACTGTACTCCAGCCTCAGTGACAGAGAGAGACTCTGTCTCAAAAATAAATAAATAAATAAATAAACCTGAGGTTGCCTGAAAACATAGTCCTGGCTCGGGTACCTGAACCAAATGTGGTCCAGGAAGACTTGTGCACACCCTGTTTGGGTTAGGCCGGTCCCTAGACCAGCCCTGTCATGTTTTGGCAAGCCAGCTCATGTGAAAATGAAGGAGACAGAGTGGATGCCCGGGCAGGAGAAGGCTGGGGAGATGAGGCCCTCCTCTACTAGAACTGAGGCCACTTTCCTGGCTTCTTCCATTTTGTGGGAGACACCGGCAGTGTTGAGAACCCAACCACAACCAAATTAAGGGGTGGCAGCCCCAAGAGCCTCCTGGGTGGAGTCTTTACTAGCTCTGCTGTTTGGGGCAAAATCTTGGTTAATGATCTTCCTCAACGTCCAAATCACCATTCTCTGTCTCTCTAAGAGCAGGGAAATTAGCTCATATCCCTTGCTGAGTTAAGTGATGAATTCCCTATTTCTTAGCCCTCCTAGGAGGGTGGCTGATTCATCCATCAAGTTATGGGATTTCCTAGAAACTGCAAAAGATCCTTGGGTGGTGATATGGTTTGCCTTTGTGTCCCCACCCAAATCTCATCTCAAATTGTAATCCCCACGAGTCAAGGGAGGGACCAGGTGGGAGGTGATAGGATCATGGGGGCATTTTCCCCCATGCCGTTCTTGTGACTGAGGGAGTTCTCATAAAGCTGATGGCTTTAAAGTGTGGCATTTCCTAGTTCTCGCATACATTCCCTCCTGCTGCCTTGTGAAGAAGGTTCCTGCTCCCCTTTTGCCCTCCCCCATGATTGTAAGTTTCCTGAGGCCTCCTAGCCATGCTTCCTGTTAAGCCTGTGGAACTGCGAGTCAGTTAAACCTCCTTCCTTTATAATTACTTAGTCTCAGGTATTGTTCTTTATAGCAGTGTGAGAATGGACTAATACAGGTGGGGTCAGAACACACAGCTTCTTCCTGCCACTCCGTCCTCTCCTCTCCTCTATGGAGGATACACGTGATTTGGTCTGAGACAGTATGATCTCAAACAATTTCATCAAAAGCAAGTTGGTTGAGATGGCAAAATTTTTCCATTTTTCTAAACATTGGGGGAAAAATGTGTGCAGTGTCTCTAAGCTTTTCATTTATGTTTCAGATTTCTAAAAGGCTTTGTTTCTCTACCTTCTTTTACTTCTAATTATCAGCTCATAATTACAGCCATGTGCCCTATGGGACTGGTTAGTCCCTAACAGTAAGTTATGATGCACGTCGTATCAGTTACCAAGCCTTGACCTGGTGACCAAAAATAATTCTATCTGAAAAGGTGGCAGTATATGAAAACACTGCCAAGTGAACAAGAGAAGTGTTTTATAAAAATTAATTAGGTCCTAGCTACTTGGGAGGCTGAGGCTTGAACCTGGGAGGCAGAGGTTGCAGTAAGCCGAGATCATGCCACTGGACTCTAGCCTGGGCCAGAGAGTGAGACTCTCTGTCTCCAAAAAAAAAAAAAAAAAAAAAAAAAGAATTTAACAAACTAATTAGGAATAAAATGTCCTACCTTAAGTTTGTTTCTTTAATTCTTGCTTAAATCATTACAAAGGGAAGGGATTTTGTTACTGAAACTGTCCAGATAGAACAGGAGGAATAAATGTTATTTTATACCCCATCCCTGTTAACATGGAGTATATAAACCTGCAAGTGGCATTCTGTGAGTGTGAGTGTGAGTGTGAGTGTGAGTGTGTGTGTGTGTGTCTCCTTCCCTGTCTCACTGTGTTATCATCCATGTGTTTACTGGAATAGCACTTCTAATTTCTTTTAAGAATTTTTCCTTTGTACTCAACACTTAGCCAATGGGTTGGCACAAGAGGCTTAGCTTTTCGCCTTAACCTGCCTTCCTCACTAAACTTCATCATTTCTAGCTTTTGATTTAAAGTAAGAGTCATGCAACTTTTCCTTTTAGTTGAAGGAAAGCCACTGATGGTTTCGCTGTATCCCCACCCAAATCTCATCTTGAATTGTAGCTCCCATAACACCATGTGTCGTGGGAGGGACCTGGTGGGAAGTAATTGAATCATGGGGGCAGGTCTTTCCCATACTGTTCTCATACTAATGAATACGTCTCATGACATCTAATGGTTTTATGAAGGGCAGTTTCCCTGCACACGCTCTCTTGCCTGCTGCTATGTAAGATGTGCCTTTGCTCCTCCCTTCCATCATGCTTCTGAGGCCTCCCCAGTCATGTGGAACCATGAGTTCATTCGACCTCTTTTTCTGTATAAATTTCACTATCTCTGATATGTCTTTATGAGCAGTGTGAGAACAGACTAATGCAGCCACTCTACTTAGAGGCCACTATAGAGCTATTAATTGGCCTAATTTCAATATTGTGGTGCCTCAGGGAATAGAGAGAGGGAGAGAGATTGGGGAGCCGTCATAACACAGGCAACATTTATTAAGTTCTCTATCTTATATGGTCTGGTCCATAGCACCCCAAAACAATTACAATAAAAACACCCAAAATCGATGATCACACATCACCATAACAGATAGAATAATAATGAAAAAGCTGGAAATAGCACAAAAATTACCAGACACAGAGGCAGAAAGTGAATATATGCTATTGAGAAAAGTGGCACCAATAGGCTTGGTCAACTCCCACAAACCTTTGATTTGTTAAAAAAAAAAAAAAAAAAAAAAAAAAAAAAACTGGTCACAGTGGCTAACTGTGCCTGTAATCCCAGCACTTTGAGAGGCCGAGGCATGTAGATCACCTGAGGTTGGGAGTTTGTGCCTGTAATCTCAGGAGGCTGAGGCAGGAGAATCACTCGAACCCGGGAGGCAGAGCTTGCAGTGAGCTGAGATCACGCCACTGCAATACATACAGCCTGGGTGACAGAGTGAGACTCCGTCTCAAAAATAAATAAATAAATAAATAAATAAATAAATAAATAAATAAATAAAATCAGCAAAGCATAAGAAAAGAAGGTTTGCCCGTGCACAGTCCCTATACATCTGAGCCTTCTCAGGTATAAGTGCTGCCTTCAAGAGAGAAAAAAAATTGATTTCTTAGAGCAAATTGCATGAGAGAACAGGGTCACAGATGTTTAGAGGGAGTAATGAAAATTGTCATTGTGGCTGTGAGAGGCTGGGAGTGTGAAGGAGTAGGGGGTAGGAACTGTTAATGGCAGAGGGAGAATTTGGATGAAGACCAGCCTGGAAATCCATCCCCAAACATCTCCTTCTCCACCACCTTCCCACCCTCCTTGGCCACCTCTAGTCTGTCTTAGACCTCTCTCCTGCAGATCGGGGCCTCCAGGTCCCACAAACTCCATGGAGCCCCAGGGCCCTGCCCTACCCAACCTGGCTGAGGCCTCCAGGTGGCCTGTCTGAGCACCAGGAAGTTGGGAATTCCTCGATTCTTTGACATCGTCCTCCACGTTCCTGGGCTTGTGAAGGAACACCCTCCTCCACGTTCCTGGAACTTCAGCCCTTACTTGGCTCAGGAGTCTTAACTCCTCAGGATGTCCAGGGGTGTCAGAAGGAGAGAATACAGTCACGGGTTCTTAGTTTCTGTTTCTGGTTGGGCCAGTAAAGCCCCTTCCTCATCCCTCTTTGCCACGTATTACTAAAGACAGAAACCAAAAACTGGCTTCAGGCTGCTAAAAACCTAAAACAAAACAGAACAACAACAACAACAACAAAATAAGGCAGGTTGGACAAGCTTAGTCATATAGTCAAAGCTTCCTGCACACAATCATGGGCCTTTCTGGAGTCCTACCACCCTTTCCCATCGTATTGTTGTGTCTCTTCTCAGATTCTTCATCATCTTTGATTTCCAGAGGCACTGCCAAGGTCAGACCGCTGGTCATGCGTGCCCTGTCTTCCTCCCCTCCCTGTCTTCCTGAGAACTCATGGAAATCTTAGCTCCTCCAGCAAGAACACATGTGTCTTTCATTTGAAAGATTCATGCCTCTCTTCTATGTGAAAGCTGATTAATGCTCATAAGGAAGGGGGCGGGTTCTATTCTTGGCCTGATTTGTCTCCCTAGACTGTCCCTGTGAAAGGTCTTTCTGTATTCATGGCCTTATTGTACAGCTCCACTTTCCCGGCAACAAGCGCTTGGCAGTGTTCACCCACCAAATGTGTTAGTTTTCAAACTCAATTGATCACTCCCTCCTTCTTGAAAGTCTTCTTCGCTGGCATCTGGGCACATTGACCCTGGTTCTTTCCCTCCCTCCTGTTGGTCTCTCCTTAAGTGAATTCTTCCTCACTTCCCTGACCTCTAAATGGTGCAATGCCCTAGAGATCCCTTCTTCCCATTGAAAACTCTCCCTGCTATGTTCCTGGGCTACAGTCCAGTCTCATGACTGTAAATACCACTTCAGCGATTCCTAAATCATTATTTCAAGCCCAGCTCTCTCCCCTGAAATCCAGGCTCCTATCTCCAGCTGCTGATTCACCATCACCCTTTGAACATCTAATCGGTACACAAACTCAGTGGGTCCAAGCAACACCCAATCTTCCCCCCGACATCGGCCTGCCCCATAGACATCCCCATCTCTGACAGTGGCACCTCCGCCCTCACAGTGGCTCAGGCCACGACCACTGGGGTCAGCCTCCCTTCTCTCCTCCTCTCATGCGACACATCCAGTCCAAAGCCTGCTGGCTCTGCTTCAAATAAAACGCCCAGGCCCACGTCTCCTCCCACTTCCACCAGCACCCTCACCCAAGCTGCTGCCATCTCAGACCTGGGTTACTGCCTCTGCTGGCCTCCTGCTGGGTTTCTCTGCCTCTGCCCTTCTGGGCAGCACCCTTCCCAAGAGTGTTCCCCACATAGCTCTTGTGTTTTAAGGCTCAAGTCCGATGCTGTCACTTCTTAAAGTTCCCCAGCGGCTCCCATGTCAATCAGTGTAAAAGTTCCAAGGTCCCATGGGATCCAACCCCCCTACTTCATGGACCACATTTCCTGTCACTGCACCATGGCCCCTCGCTCCACCCCACCACATCTGGGTTCTGCGGCCCTTGGTCCCTCCTGTCCACTTTTGCCTGGACTCTTGCGTGCACACACACTCTTCTCACTGCCCAGGGCTCTGTGCGCCTGGCTCTCTGAAGAGGGCATCCCTCACTCCTCCCAGGTTTCTGCTGCAGGGCTGCCCTACCAGGGGTGCCTGGCCCTTTCCATTCCACTTGCCCTCCCTGATATGTCTCCATTGTGTTTATGGCTTGTCTCACCTCCTGGGCTGTAAGGCTCTGGGGGCGTATGCTCAATGCAGGGGGTCTTCAGGAAAGAAGATACGCCAGCCATGGGCTTTGAAGGACAAGTGGGAGATCATCAGAGACCAGGGCAGGGCCGCTGGGGCAGGCATTCCCAGGACGGGGTTCGGCCCAGCAAAGCCCAGAGTCACGCTGTGGGACAATGTTGCCTTTGCGCCATCATGCCTGTCTGCCTGGCCGTGTGGCTGGGTGACCAGAAGTGAGACGTGTGCTCTTTTTTTGTGTGATTCTTTGGCATCAGATCAAGGCTCTCATCAAGAGGTACATCCAGAGGCAGCAGACGATCAACTTGGTGGTGGTTCCCTGTAACGTGGACATTGCCACCACGGAGGCACTGAGCATGGCTCACGAGGTGGACCCAGAAGGGGACAGGACCATCGGTAAGAGAAAAGAACCAAGTGGCCAGGTGTGGTGGCTCAAGCCTGTAATCCTAGCACTCTGGGAGGCCGAGGTGGGTGGATCATGAGGTCAGGAGATCGAGACCATCCTGGCTAGCATGGTGAAACCCGGTCTCTACTAAAAATACAAAAAAAATTAGCCAGGCATGGTGGCGAGCACCTGTAGTCCCAGCTACTCGGGAGGTTGAGGCAGGAGAATGGCTTGAACCCGGGAGGCGGAGCTTGCAGTGAGCCGAGATCGCACCACTGCACTCCAGCCTGGGTGACAGAGCAAGACTATATCTCAAAAAAAAAAAAAAAAAGAACCAAGCTTCCAGCGCATGGATGGGAAGGGAGGGAGGGTTGCCGCATGTCTTTGGAAGATCCTGGAACGTATCTCATGCCGTGTGTCCTGTGCTGAATACAAGTGCTACTGTGCTTGTTCCTTAGGAATGGCTTATTGAGGGCTGAAGTAGGTAATATCATCTACTCAGTAGATGGACCTGAGCATGTCAACAAAGTTAACACTGAAGAAAAGAAAGAAAAGAAAAAAAGTTTAAAAAAAAAAAAAAAGGATCTATTTGAATATTAACATCTCCAAGGAAACTTAGTACTACTTTTTAATAGTCAGTTTTCTGGTCCTCTCATTGCCACAAACTCAGATAATCAATAGTTATCAATAAATATTAGCTATTATTATTATTTTGAGACAGAGTTTTGCTCTGCCCCCCAGGCTGGAGTGCAGTGACATGATCTAGGTTCACTGTGACCGCTGCCTCCCGGGTTCGATTCTCCTGCCTCAGCCTCCCAAGTAGCTGGGACTACACACACATGCCATCACGCCTGGCTAATTTTTGTATTTTTAGTAGAGATGGAGTTTCACTGTCTTGGCCAGGCAGGTGTCAAATTCCCAATCTCAGGTGATCCACCTGCCTCAGCCTCCCAAAGTGCTGGGATTACAGGTGTGAAACACAGCCCCCAGCCAGCTATTATGATTATAAATTTAGTCAATCACTATAGTCATGGGATATACATGATCTGCTCTTAGTATAGCCCAAAACAATATTGTGAAATAAATGCACATTTTCTTTTTTTCTTTTTAACTTGGGGTATTTTATTTTATTGTTAACTTTTATTTTAGGTTCAGGGGTACATGTGCAGGATGTGCAGGTTTGTTACACAGGGAAGCTTGTGTCATGGGTGTTTGTTGTACAGATGATTTCATCACCCAGGTATTAAGCCTAGTACCCATTAGTTATTTTTCCTGATCCTCTCCCTCCTCCACCTTCTGACAGGCCCTAGTGTCTGTTGCTCCCCTCTACGTGTTCATGTGTTCTCATCATTTAGCTCCCACTTATAAGTGACAACTTGTGGCATTTGGTTTTCTGTTCCTGGGTTAGTTTACTAAGGATAATGGCCTCCAGGTCCATCCCACAGAAATGCAAATTTTCTATGCATTCTAGCTCAAGCATAGAAATAGAGAAAAGTGTGCTAGGCTTAAAAGAGAAAGAGACCCATGTTCATAGCAGCATTATTCACAATAGCCCAAAGGTGGGAGCAACCCAAGTGTTTACAGATGGATGGATGGATCAATAAATCGTGGTATACATGTAAAATAGTATTATTTAGCCTTAAAAAGGAGGGAAATTCTGAAACACACAACAACATGAGTGAACTTCAAGGACATTATGCTAAGTGAAATTCCACTAAGAACAGAACAAACACTGGATGATTCTACCTTATTTGAGGTCCCTAGAGTAGTTGGATTCATACAGACAAAGTAGCATGGTGGTTGCCCAAGACCGGAGGGAGGGGAAGTGGGAAATTGTTGTTTAATGGGTGAAGAGCTTCAGTTTGGGAAGATGGAAAAGTTCTGGAGATGGACGGTGGTGACGGTTACACAACAATGTAAATGTACTTAATTATACCTAACTATAAACTGGCTAAAATAGGAAAATTCACTTTATGTAGATTTTATTACCATTTTTTAAAGAACTTTTTTTTTAAAAAAACAAGGTAGCTAAAGACAGAGTAGGGGGGAACATCCTATTTTTATTAGTTGAATTATTCCCTTGCAGACTTGAGTTACTTGTATTTTACAATTCTTTTAAAAAGGAAATTGAGGCCGGGAGCGGTGGTTCATGTCTGTAATCTCAGCACTTTGGGGGGCCAAGGCGGGCAGATCAACTGAGGTCAGGAGTTCGAGACCACCCTGGCCAACACAGTGAAACCCCGTCTCTACTAAAAATACAAAAAATCAGCCGGTCATGGTGGCACATGCCTGTAATCCCAGCTACTCGGGAGGCTGAGGCACGAGAATCACCTGAACCTGAGACATGGAGGTTGCAGTGAGCCAAGATCATGCCACTGAACTCCAGCCTGGTGAAAGAGCGAGACTCTGTCTCAAAAAAAAAAAAAAAAAAAAAAAAAGAAAGAAAGAAAAGAAAAGAAAGAAAATTGAATGACTATCTACACAATACTCCCAAAGGATGAGAATAGAGCAAATTTGATGATGATATAACAGTGGCTTAGAGAATATCAAGTTTCAAAAAGAACAGTGGGTCAATATTTTCAGGCCCTCACTAAGCTGGTTCCCCACCCATCCATTGCTAAATGGATGCTGTCTACTCCCTCGGCTTCAGCTGAGCTCCTGTCCCCTCTTGAGACAGAGACTGCTCCTGTCGAGGTCACCCACACCCTCTGCACTGAGGAGCACATGGTCACATCTCTGTCCTCGCCTTCCCGTTCTCAGCAGCAGTCACCCCAGTTGCCCACTCCCTCCTTCCTGAACCTCCCTCCTTCCTTCACCATTCTCTGTCTCAGGTCGCTTCCATCACTGGCCAGCTGGAAGTCAATTTTCTTCAATTTTCTTTCTTTTCTTTCTCAGACTCCTTGTTTTCATGTCTCTTCAATTCTCAGGCCTCTAAATATGGAAAACTTGGTTCTGGGCTCTCCTTCTATCAACACATCATCACATTCAGTGATCTTATCTGGCTGTGGTCTGTAATTCCATCTACATGCCAGTGACTCCCAAATCTGTATCTGTAACCTTGACCTTGCTTAACTGGACAACTCCATTTGGCTGTCTGGCCGATGTCTCCAGTTAAACATGACCAAAACAGAACTCTTGGTTTCATACTCCATCCTGATTCTCCTCCTCCCCAAGGCTTCCCCACCTCATTCACAGAACCCATCCGCCCACCCAGTTCTAAAGCCAAATCAGAGTCCCATTTGAGTCCTCCCTCCCCTTGCCTCCAAGTCCAATGTATCTGAAGTCCTGGTGACTCTGCCTCCAAAACGGGTGCCAAATCCATCCACTCCTCTCCATCCCCACTGTCACTGCCTAGACCAAGCCACCATGGTCTCCTGCCTGTACTGCTCAAACATTCTCCTGCCGTTCTAGCACTCACCTTGCCCACGGCAGTGCCCTCTCCACTGGCCTTCAAACATGTCAATCAAGTCATGCCCTTCCCTGTTTACATTCTCTCCTGCTGCCGTTTCACATGCATATAAACCCCGGACTCCTTTATTTAGAAAGCAGAGCCCCAGGTAACCTGGCCCTGCCTGCCTCTCTGATCTCAGTTCCCACGCTCTCTGCCTTGCTCATGACGCTTCAGTATGGCTCTGCCATCCCTGCTCCCTCTCACCCAGGGTCTGGAGTGCTCCTTCTCCATCCCCACTAGGCTGACTCCTTCCTTCATTCAGATCTCAGTCCAAATGTTGCCTTCTGAGAGAGGCCCTCCCTGTCCACCCAACCTGAGACTACACCACATATCTCTGCCCACAGTCATTTGCCAGTACATCACTTTATGTTAACTCTCTGTGTGGCCCTTATCAATATCCACTCTTCTTTATTTCTTGTATATTACTAGATTAATTTATCTGGAGAGAGAGGTTCAGGAATAGTAGACCAGATAGCCAGACTTATCCACAAATTAAAACGAAGGGCAAAATAGCAGAAAATAAGGCCAGACACGGTGGCTCATGCCTGTAATCCCAGCACTTTGGGAGGCTGAGGTGGGTGGATCATGAGGTCAGGAGTGTGAGACCAGCCTGGCCAACATGGTGAAACTTCATCTCTACTAAAAATACAAAAAGTAGCTGGGCGTGGTGGCACACGCCTGTGGTCCCAGCTACTCAGGAGGCTGAGGCAGGGGAATCGCTTGAACCGGGGAGGTGGAGGTTGAAGCAAGCCACTGCACTCCAGCCTGGGTGACAGAGCAAGACTCTGTCAGAAAGAAAGAAGGAAAGAAAGAAAGACAGGAAGGAAGGAAGGAAGGAAGGAAGGAAGGAAGGAAGGAAGGAAGGGCTTTTCAACACACACAAACAAGAAATGCAGTGGCTATTTGACACTCAGGCAACATAAACAAAAAAAAAAAAGCACTTGGAATTCAAAGTTTTCAAGCCAGTGCAAGCAGGAAGGAGTGGGGACAGAGGAGGGGGAGAGGAAAGTGGGGAGGAGGAGATCAGAGGAGGTACCCACAAGAGGGAGCCGAGTGAGTCAGTTCAGGAAACACTAGAGAGGGACTCCCCTCAGTAGGGAATGAGGCGTTCTTGGAAACATGGTGCATGGAGCCAGTTCATTCTAACCATGCATGCTGCGTTAATGCTGGGCACCCAGTAGGCATCCAAGAACTATTTGTTAAGTCAACTATCCAGGACGAATGAACTGAGTGAGAGGGTGAGATAGTGAGCCAAAAGAAATGCAAAGAAGAGGGGCAATGAGGGAATGAGGAGGGAGTGAGGCACTGGAGGATCAAGACTACAGAAGACCTTGCTGGCCAAAAAAGGAGCCCATAGCCCAGTAGGAGTCAAATCTATTTGAGGGGATCACTGACCTTTCCATTTCCCTTCTTTAACCATCTCACAGGGATCCTGACCAAACCAGATCTAATGGACAAGGGCACCGAGAAAAGCATCATTAATGTGGTACGGAACCTCACATACCCCCTCAAGAAGGGCTACATGATCGTGAAGTGCCGGGGCCAGCAGGAGATCATGAACAGACTGAGTTTGGCAGAGGCAACCAAGAAAGAGATTACATTCTTTCAAACGCATCCATGTTTCAGGTGAGACTCTTCAGGAAAGCCCTGGAATTAGACTCCATGAAAAGCCAGCCCATCTGCCAGAGTTGGCCCGGATGATGACCAAAGTATATGCACAAATTACACAAGGTAGTATAACCTAGCCTCACCTTATTTTGGTGTTAAATTTCTTGGCTTATTTAGACACATTATTGTTTTTTAGATTCTAATGATGGTGCTGATTAAAAATTGGAATGTGTCATGACGTAAAGCATAGAACACTTTGGTTTTCCAAAATGTTTTCACTTGCTTTCTGATTTGAGTCCTTTTATTAAGAGATACATAAGGCAGGTGAAGTTTCCCCCATGTTCATAGATAAGAATAATGAAGTCAAACAGTGAATGGGAGCAGGATTGAACACAGAGCTCCTAACTTCCAGAAACCCGTGTTTACCACTGTAAGCGGCACACAGGAAAACCTGCTCTATGGAACTCTCCACGTTTTTAGAGCTTCCAGTGCCCACAGTCATTCACCAGCACATCACTGGTTTTTATTACATAGAAATTTAATAATAACTGGTTTTATTGAATAGAAATTATCCTATAGAGACTCTGTAGTTTGTAGGACGCTGGGATTTTCCCCATTGAATGGAGCTCTTTTCCCCTTCATTCTGGAACTTGTTATTCCTGAATGATCCAGTAGCACACAGGTCACTCCTGCTTGAAGGAGAGCTAATGGGAAAACAGTGAATTTGGGCGGAGCAGGTCTGCTGCTTGCTAACTATGTGATCTTACAATATGGGCCACCTTCTCTGAATTTTGTCTTTCCCATCTTCTCCAAGATGTGGTTAAGATTAAATAACGCGACATACACAAAAGTCTTGAGCGCCAGCAGCCAGCACTCAGTAAATACCACCCCGGTTCCTTCTTTCTTCCTCTCTGCTCCTGCTCTGAGTGGATTCAACATGCTGTTTTCAATAGCACTAGAGGACATGAGGAGAAGTAAACTCTCCTCCTCGAGCTGGGAGATTTCAAAATAATCAGGCCTACGGTTCTCCATGCTAAGTGAGCATCAGACTCTCTGGAGAGTTCCTTAAAATAGCGCTAGCTCTGCCCTGCCCTGAGGTCTGGGGAGGGACCCAAGACTTTTGCTTCTAACAGGTTCCTCCTGGTTGAGGCTAATGTTGCCAGTTCAGGGACCTCCCTTTGCGAACCGCTTCTCAAGGTCTTTGGGAAATCTGAAATCCTTGCATTGAGAGCTGACCCTTGCAGTGAGAGGCACTGGCAGTGCTAGGGAATAATCCTGTGTGCTTCATCCGAAATTCCTGCTATTGGCAAACACGCCGCAGCCACGCTGCCTGCTGTGTGGCTGCAGCAAGCAAATGCAGCAAGCTGCTTAACCTTTCTGTGTTTTAGTCTTTCTTGCTCTAAAGTGGGTTGTTAAATGACTAAATGTGTTAATATTTATAAAGCCCTTAGACTGGTGCCCGGCACTTAGTAAGCGCCGTACACTTTTGTGATGAGAAATAAAATACTAATCTGGGCAACTCAGTTAATCTCCATGAGGCTGGGTTTGTTTTCCTGTAGCTAAGATGACCTACCTCATGAGTTTGTGGGGATGATAGAAAGGGAGAAGGGAAGGAAGCTTCCTGGCCCACACTTGCTTGGGTACAGGCTGGTGGCAAGTGTCTTGCTCATGCACCACCTGGCTTTTCTGATGGCACGTGTTGCCCCAGGGAGCTGGGCTCACCTACCACATACAAAGCCCGGAACTGGCAAGATGGTACACAAGTCCTTCCTAAATGCATGAGTATCTGTCTCATTTCAGAGTTCTCCTGGAGGAGGGGTCAGCCACGGTTCCCCGACTGGCAGAAAGACTTACCGCTGAACTCATCACGCACATCCAAGTGAGTCACGTGGGTTGGGTGACAAGTGATCAATACAGCATGCCCAAGTCACTCTCTTGCTCTGGAATTGGCTAAGATGCCCCACTGTTCTGTCCAAACAAGCAAACAAGTACCCTCTGAAAACTGTTTCACTCACCGTCATAGGCTCACAGGAAGAACTTCCAAACTGGGGAAGCAACAAGTACATAGTGTTAAAACAAAGGGTTGAATTGGTCAACAGAGGTGGGGAGGGGAAAGAGAAGGAAACAACTTGTAATACCAGTTTAGCAATATAAAAAGGACTGACCACTGAGCGAGCCAGTTGTCTTTTTTCAATATGTTGTTAATACTTCCTGGTAAAAAAAATTTTTATTGCCAGACATGGTGGCTCATGCCTGTAATCCCAGCACTTTGGGAGGCTGAGGCCGGTGGATCACCTGAGGTCAGGAGTTCAAGACCAGCCTGACCAACATGGAGAAACTCCATCTCTACTAAAAATACAAAATTAGCTGGGCATGGCGGCACATGCCTGTAATCCCAGCTACTCAGGAGGCTGAGGCAGGAAAATCACTTGAACCCGGAAGGTGGAGGTTGCAGTGAGCTGAGATCGTGCCATTGCACATCAGCCTGGGCAACAAGAGCGAAATTCTGTCTTTAAAAAAAAAAAAAAAAATTCTTCTAGCCTCAAACTTCTAAGAAATAATTGGTTTGTAAGAAATAAATCCATTTTTATGGATTCTCAAAAGCAGACAACTACAGACAAGGGCCTCATGACATCATCAATTATAGAAAAACTTTGGTTTGGTGGTTATTGAGAAATTGAATATTTTTAGTGCTTGCCTAAACCTTCACAAATGAGGCCAAGCAACATGGGAAGATTTAAGTTTACCCTTTGAGCAAAGATTATTTCAGATCCTAGGACTTGGCCCATGCTAAATTGTGTATTAGACAAAAGCAATGACTTACTTGAGCCAGGAAGCACATACTCAAAGAAAATTTGGTTGGAAGGAGCCAGTGGTTGTCCAACTTTAAGGTACACAAGAATTACCTGGAAAGTTTGTTACAATTTAGATTCTGCTGGGCACACCGGGCACGGTGGCTTACATATGTAATCCCAGCACTTTGGGAGGCTGAGGCGGGTGGGTCACCTGAGGTCAGGAGTTCGAGGCCAGCCTGGCCAACATGGTGAAACCCCGTCTCTACTAAAAACACAAAAATTAGCCAGCGTGGTGTTGTGCACCTGTAGTCCTAGCTACTCGGGAGGCTGAGGCAGGAGAATGGCTTGAACCCAGAAGGCGGAGTTTGCAGTGATCTGAGATCACGCCACTGCACTCCAGCCTGGGCAATAGAGTGAGGCTCCATCTCAAAAAAAAAAAAAAAAAAAAACTTACATCTAAGTTTGGATTCCTGGGTCCCAGACCCAGAGTTTCTGACTTAGATGTAAGACCTGTGGATTTGCATTTCTACGTTCCCAGGTCTTCCTGGGAACAAACTTTGAGAATCACTGATTCCAGTGGAATTCACTAAGTTTGCAGAAGAGGTTTCTGAAAGCTATATCCCTGTCTAATTGAGAAAAAATCTGGTTTTTGAAAAAATAAAAATGTTGTATTTTTATAACTTTTTTCAACACAAATATTTTAATTTAAAATGTATAATATTTTAAATTAATTTTTAAATGTTAAATCGACTGAATTATAACAATGACAATTTGAAATATCAGAAGGTAATACACTTTGCCTACAGATACAAACTGTCTCCCAAAAAAGAGCCTAGGAGACCTTATCAATTTCCTGGCATAACCTGTCTTGCCTTGGCATGCTAACCCACAAACCACCTCCAAGTCCCAGGGAGCTCCCCCTGCCCAGGGGCTGTAGCATCCTCGTCCACCAGGGCAGGACCTGGGGTCACTGCTCCCCAAGGTGTCTTCACCTGCAGTGTTTATGAGCAGGGTTGGGGAGTTGGTAGGCAGGTTGCGATTGGCCACTGCTGCTCACTAGGTCTGTGAAGATAGCAAGTAATTGGATTCTCTGAGCCTTAGTTTCTTCTCTGACAAAAAACTGGCAGCATACGACAGTGTGGGGATTAAATGAGGTGTGGAGTGTGTCGCCAACCCCAAGACACAGTGTTTATCAGTTTATAACACTCACATTGTCACCAAAAATCCCATTTTACTAAGACATTGCACATTATATTCAAGTGTTCTTATTCTGGAATTACAAGGCACCAAGCCAAATCAAACAACCACCACAAAACAAAAGTAAAAACTGTCCACCACCCGATTCCTCACCACTCCAATTGCACAGCAGAATGCGAAATTCCGAGCCAAGCCGTCCAAGCTGTGGGACATGCCTGTTGCATGCAAAACTCTCTTTGGGCTCCTTGGCTGGTTTCCATCTCACTGAGAGTCACAAAATAACAAAAATTCCAGATCTTCCTGCATGCTTTAAAGGGTTCCTACCCATATATCAAAGAAATATGTTGGCCAATCTCTTAAGCCATAGTTTGATTGTTTGCAATTGTTTTGTTTAGAAATCACTCCCATTGTTAGAAGAACAAATAAGGGAGAGCCACCAGAAGGCCACCGAGGAGCTGCGGCGTTGCGGTGCTGACATCCCCAGCCAGGATGCCGACAAGATGTTCTTTCTGATTGAGGTGAGGACTTCCGCGGGCCTCCACGTGACAGTGTGTCCTTCCCCCTCCTCACCCATGAGATGAGGCATGTGAGTGGACATCTCCTTACAACACCGGTTCCAGTTCTTTCATATGATTTCAGCACAGACTGTTGACTTTATATCATTTTCAGAAAATCAAGATGTTTAATCAGGACATCGAAAAGTTAATAGAAGGAGAAGAAGTTGTAAGGGAGAACGAGACCCGTTTATACAACAAAATCAGAGAGGATTTTAAAAACTGGATAGGCATACTTGCAACTAATACCCAAAAAGGTAAGTTCTGGGCAGGGCTGCCCGCAAAACAGGGTGGTATTTACCTAGACTGGAGGCTATGTCCAGCACATAAGTGTGCCCAGAGCAGAACACGCTCATCCAAGACCCTGGAACGCTTGGTAATCAGCAACTGTCCCTCAAGAACCAAGACCCAGAAATATGGGGCATTGAGCTCAGCAACTCAACACAGGGCAATTCCACTGCCTCTGACGTCCTCTTGCGTCTTGGTTTTGTTTTGTTTTGTTGAGACAGGGTCTCCCTCTGTTGCCTAGGCTGCAGTGTAGTGGTGCAATCATGGCTCACTGCAGCCTCAACTTCCCAGGTTCAAGTGATCCTCCCACCTCAGCCTCCTGAGTAGTTGGGACCACAGGTGTGAACCACCATACCCAGCTAATTTTTGTACTTTTTTGTAGAGACAGGTTTTCACCACCATTGCTCAGGCTGCTCTTGAACTCGTGGGCTCGAGCAATCCACCTGCCTCAGCCTCCCAAAGTGCTGGGATTATAGATGTCAGCCTCTGTGCCTGGCCTTGCTTCTTGGTTTTGAGGCTAAATGGCATTCCATGCCCACCTGAGGAATTCGCAGAGCAGCCCAGGGTACCTCAGGGCCGCTATTCTGAGTGCCTGGAGGGAAGCCTGTGCCCAAAGCAGAGGTCCAGATGACTCTGGGGGCCAGCCCCACATGAAGGCTCTCCAGCCACTGAGTTGAGTGCACAGCTGCTGGCTGGCCGTGGTGCCTGTTGTGGACACACCAGACACGAAGCCTTCGTTAGTAGCTGCTAAACCTCAGCCTAGTAGAAAAAGTGACTTGGGATACTTATTTATTTTGGTGGTATTAAGACAGAGCTCAGCATGGGTGCCAGGGGACCACGGGAGGGGGGAGTCCACATGAAATCGTTTACCATCTCCCCCTCTGGAAGGTCTAGGGTGTGATGATCTGGTTTCAACAATAAGTAAAGACTAGATGAAGTAGCAGTTTTTTAAGTGCTAAAATGTGCTCAGGTCACCCAAACAATATCACTCATCCCAATCCTCCTTCTCTTTGCCCCAAATTCAAGACCAGGGAGATCCCTGGTTTGACAAGAGCCTGCTGGCTTCACCTGGCAAAGTTTCGATTCCCATATGCTCCAGCCCAGGTGCCAGTAGGGCGTGTGTGTGTTCATTTTCACACTGCTATAAAAAATTACCTGAGACTGGATAGTTTATAAAGAAAGGAGGTTTAATGGACTCACAGTTCCACATGGCTGGGGAGGCCTCAGAAAACTTACAATTATAGCAGAAAGCAAAGGAGAAGCAAGCACCTTCTTTACAAGGTGGCAGGAGAGAGAGCAAGGGGAGAGCTGCCAAACACTTTATTTATTTATTTATTTTGAGACGGAGTTTCACTCTTGTTGCCCAGGGTGGAGTGCAGTGGTGTGATCTCGGCTTACTGCAACCTCAGCCTCCCAGGTTCAAGTAATTCTCCTGCCTCAGCCTTCCAAGTAGCTGTGATTAGTTGCATGCCACCACGCCCAGCTGATTTTTATACTTTTAGTAGAGATGGGGTTTCACCACGTTGACCAGGCTGGTCTCGAACTCCTGACCTAAGGTGATCTGCCCTCCTCTGCCTCCCAAAGGGCTGGGATTACAGGCATGAGCCACCACTCTCAGCCCCCAAACACTTTTAAACTATCAGATCCCGTGAAAACTCACGATCATGAGGGCAGCATGAGAAAAACCACCCCCATGATCCAATCACCTCCCACCAGGAGACCTTATCAATTTCCTGGCGTGACCTGTCTTGCCTGACATGCTAACCCACAAACCACCTCCAAGTCCCAGGGAGCTCCCCCTGCCCAGGGGTTGCAGCATCCTCATCCTCCAGGGCAGGACCTGGGGTCACTGCTCCCCAAGGTGTCTTCACTTGCTCTCTTGACACATGGGGATTATAATTTGGGATGAGATTTGGGTGGGGACACAAAGCCAAACACAATTTGAGATGAGATTTGGGTGGGGACACAGAGCCAAACACAATTTGAGATGAGATTTGGGTGGGGACACAAAGCCAAACACAATTTGAGATGAGATTTGGGTGGGGACACAGAGCCAAACCATCTCATTGTGTGTATGCTGTTGTGTTTTTGTTCTGGCACTTGGAGAAAACAGCACTATTTACCTCCATGGTAAGATCCCTCCAACTGTAATCTGTGGCTGCATGCTTAGGAGGTGAGGCGTACAAGATTAATTTTCCATATTCATTTAACTGATCACATTTTCGTGTTTAGTTTTGTTTTTATTTTTCAGAGACGGGCTCTTGCTGTCACCCAGGCTGGAGTGCAGTGGTGCGATCACTCACAGATAGCTGGGACTAGAGGCACACACCACCATGCCTGGCTAATCTGTTTTTATTTTTGTAGAGACAGGATCTTGTTATGTTGCCCAGGTTGGTCTCGAACTCCTGGCCTCAAGTGATCCTCCCACCTCGACCTCCCAAAGTGATGATATTACAGGCATGAGCCACCACACCTGGCCTCTAATCAGGTTTTTTTTGTTTTGTTTTGTTTTTGTTTTGTTTTGTTGTTCCTACCAGTTAGAAATAGTAACTTCTCTCTTGGGGTGATGACTTTCAATTGAAACACATTTTCATAGAATAAGATTTTTGTTTCCCAAAAGTCAGTATTTCTTAAACTCCTGTTATTAGACCATGAATATTTTTCTCATTGTGAACAAAACTCCACTTTGCAACACTGCCTCTGCGTGCAGTGGGGAGCAAGACTTTAAAAAACTGTTGCTAGCTTTATAACGTCTGCAGAATTATTAGAATTCACCATGGAGGTCTGTTCGATGTTGCAGTTAAAAATATTATCCATGAAGAAGTTGAAAAATATGAAAAGCAGTATCGAGGCAAGGAACTTCTGGGATTTGTCAACTACAAGACATTTGAGACCATCGTGCATCAGTACATCCAGCACCTGGTGGAGCCCGCCCTTAGCATGCTCCAGAAAGCCGTGGGTGAGGACTTTCACGCAGGACTCCCAAACCATCACTCTCATACCTTCCATAGACCCCAATGCCTTGGAGGAAGAGATTGGAATGGAGTTACCAAACACAGCCTGCAGACCAGCTCACTGGTGTGCTAGATTGCTACTTGGTGTGGTCTGTGAGCCAGCAGCACTGGCAAGGCCTGGGAGCCGGTCAGAGCTCAGATTCTGCCCTTCTGCCTGAGAACTCGTACTGAGGTTTCTAGGAGATGGGGAAGCATGCTGAGTGCGGTAGGCGCTTTCCATCGCTATCCTTCAAACACACAGAGGAGGCGGGGAAGATGGTTTCTCTTGTCTTTAGGGGACAGGCAGAGGGTGCACATGTGCTTCATCTGTATCATACGCAGCCCCCAACACAGCTGTGTAAGGCAGCGGTCTCCAGTCTTTACGGCACCAGAGACTGCTTTCATGGAAGACAATTTTTCCACAGGCCGGTGAGGGGTGAGAGGGATGGCCCTGGGATGATTCAACTGCATTGCATTTATTGTGCACTTTATTTCTATGATTATTACATTGTAATATATAATGAAATAATTACACAGTTCATTATAATGTAGAATCCTCATCATGGTGGGAGCCCTTAGCTTGTCTTCCTGCAACTAGACGGTCCCACCGGGGGAGTGATGGGAGACAGTGACAGATCGTCAGGCATGAGTTTCTCATAAGGAACACGCAACCCAGATCCCTCGCATGTGCAGTTCTCAACAGGGTTTGTGCACCTGTGAGAATCTGGTGCCACCGCAGATGTGAAAGGAGGTGGGGCTCAGGCAGCAATGCTCACTAGCTCACTGCACATCTGCCGGACGTGGACTGGAATTGGTCCAGCCCAGGGGTTGCGGATCCCTGATGATGTGAGGAATAGTCAGAGGTTAACATGCACACAGGCACGGGAAATGGACGGGACCTGCCCAGACTGCACGAGGGCTGGACTGCATGTCCCTGGAATGACATCTCACCCTCTCCTATCTTGGTCTGCGGGCCTAGGAAACTCAGTCTCCTGGAATGGGTCAGGGTATCATCAGTCATCCTCCCTGTGTCTTTAACCATTTTATTTCTGCTTGTGTTTTACTGATGTTTTCTTTTCTTTTCTTTTTTTTTTTTTTGGCCAGAAATTATCCGGCAAGCTTTCGTTAACATGGCCAAAAAACATTTTGGTGAATTCTTCAACCTTAACCATACTGTTCAGGTAAGCGCCCAGAGTTCACTTGCTAGTCACCTGGACCACTGGCTGTTTAACCTTGAGAGAAGCTGGATATGTTCCCTGTCGTTTGGAACCCTGTCATTTGGAACCATGAGGCCAGGGATGCAATGGCAGGCTGGTGGGGCTGGTGGGGCTGGCGGGGCTGGTGGGGCTGGCGGGGCTGGCGGGGCTGGTGGGGCTGGCGGGGCTGGCGGGGCTGGCGGGGCTGGCGACTCCAGGAGCACCTGCCTGCTTGGCTTCTGCTCAGGAGGAGGCTTCACTCCGCAGGAGAAATGAAAGGAGGCCCGGGCCCTGCCATCTGTTTTGCATGACCTCGTGCAGGACGTGGGGCTCCACCGAGGCCGAGCTGGTAGCTGAATCTTTTTCAAGCATAAAGCACAGCGTTGTTCACTAGTCCTACTCCCAAGTTTGTATGTTTGACTCAAAGATGTTGCTCTGTGGGTTTCTACTTAGCAACTCTTCCCTGAGTTACCTTCAGCAAAGGCAAGAGAGGGCATGTACTACGTGGGCTCTAGATAACATTCCTCTTCTGCCCAGGCCTGGGCTCGTGGATTGAAATCTCATTCCTTAGTGCAGGCAAGCAAGAAGGACAATTTCTGTCATTTTTCCATCATGTAAATTAATTTCTTCTTTCACCCTTTTGACCTGTTGGTAAAAGTTAAATCTCAGTTCTGACCCTCACCCACTTTCTCAGGGGCTGTGTCTGAGTCCCAGGTGCCTGCTCATGGGGTGGGTGACCTGCCTGGTCCCCAGTCACCAAGATGTCCATTGTCCTTCCCAGGCCTTGGTCCCCTTGGTCCCTGAGCTCCTGCCAACCCCCGCCAGGACACATGAAGCACTCTGCTGCAGGCCCGACTGCTCTGGGCCATGGGAACTCTGGCATCCACCAAGGCTCTTCACCTCTTTTGTGCTGCCCTTGGATAGACACAGCCTTGCAACGTCTCCCGGCTCCATACCAGGGACCATGGGGCTCTCCAAGGCCATGGCCTGCACACTCCCCAGAGCCACATCAGAGCCTGGGGGGCACGTTGCCTCCTGTGTCACAAATCTTGAGGAGTGTAGCACAGGCCGCTTCCGCTCCCAGAGGGTCTACTGTCCATCGTTGTGTAGACCGAAAAGTGACTGAGGCAGATCTGCCTCGATCCGAGGTTTATTTTGCCCAGGTCGAGGATGTACCTGGGAAAAAGAAACACAAGTCCCAGTGCGATCTGTGACCTGTGCTTTTCCTAACGAGGGTTTAGAGGAACTTCAGTATTTGAAAAGGAAAGAGCAAGCTGGGAAGAAAGAAGGAGGGTAGGCAGTGAGGCAGAGGTCACACTCTTGTAAGACTCTGACTAGCACTCAATGAATCTACATGTTATATGTGAAAAGAAAGGCATGGAGGGCAAGTCAATCATGCATTCATCTCACGCTCAGTAAATCTACATTTTACATCGGATAAAGTGTGCATGTGAAATCACAGCTTCTGTTTGGGAACAAAAGAAAGACAGTTAACTTTCCCTTTGGTATAGTAAGTTTGTGGTCCCAAGATTCTATTTTTCTTTCACAGTTGTCACATATACTTAAAAAAATAGAAAAGAAAGAGAGAGAGAAGGAACCAGCACCCGTGAAACTTCACCTCTGAAACTCACCCTCTTATTCTCAAGCCACTGCTTCTGCTTTCAGTTTTAAAAAGTCTGTTTGAAACTCAAAAGCCTAGGCCGGGCGTGGTGGCTCACGCCTGTAATCCTAGCACTTTGGGAGGCCGAGGCGGGCAGATCACTTGAGGTCAGGAGTTCGAGACCAGCCTGGCCAACCCAGTGAAACCCTTGTGTCTACTAAAAATACAAAAATTAGCCGAAAATCACTTGAACCTGGGAGGCGGAGGTTGCAGTGAGTCAAGATTGTGCCACTGCATTGTAGCCTGGGCAACAGGGCGAGACTCCATCTCAAAAACAAAAAAAAGAAAAACTCAAAGCCAGGACATAACATTCTTAGTTCAAGCTTCTATCACAAAGTCCCACAAACTCGATGTGTCTTATTAACAATAAAAATGTGTTTCTCATGGTTCTAGAGGCTGGGAGCCTGAGATCAGTGTGTGGGCATGGTCAGGTGGCAGTGAGGGCTGTCTTTCAGGTTGCGGACGGTCACCACCTTCTTGTGTACCCTCACACGGTGGAAAGAGCGCTCTCTGGGGTTCCTTTATAAGGGCCTCAGTCACATTCATGAGGCTCTACCCTCATGATTAATTGCCTCCCACCTCCCAATACCATTACCTTTCTGCTTTGTTTTCAACATGTAAATTGGGGGGTGGGGGACACAAATGTTCAGTCCGTGGCAGTGACTCTGTGATCCCCGTTCTCTGCTATATCACCTCTTTCCTTTTTTTTTTTTCTTTTGAGATGAAGTCTCACTCTGTCACTCAGGCTGGAGTGCAGTGGTGCCATCTCGGCTCACTGCAACGTCTGCCTCCTGGGTTCAAGTGATTCTCCTGCCTCAGCCTCCCAAGTAGCTGGGATTACAAGCGCCTGCCACCACACTCAGCTAATTTTTGTATTTTTAGTAGAGATGGGGTTTTGTCATGTTGGTCAAGCTGGTCTCAAACTCCTGACCTCAGGTGATCCACCTGCCTCAGTCTCCCAGTGCTGGGATTACAGGTGTGAGCCACCACACCCAGCCTTTTTGAGATAGAGTTTCATTCTTGTTGTCCAGGCTGGATTGCAATGGTGTGATAGCTCACTGCAACCTCTGCCTCCCAGATTCAAGTGATTCTCCTGCCTCAGTCTCCCAAGTAGCTGGGATTACAGGTGTTCGCCACTACACCCAGCTAATTTTGTATTTTTAGTAGAGATGAGGTTTCACGATGTTGGCCAGGCTGGTCTTGAACTCCTGATCTCAAGTGATCCACCCTCCTCAGCCTCCCAAAGTGCTGGGATTACAGGCATGAGCCACCGTGCCCAGTCAACCTTTCTTCCTTGACTGCATGGGTGACGTAGGAGCCCTGGGATTCCTGGGAAACAGGTATATCACACTGTTATCCCAGTGTCAGTACTGGAACCATTCCAGCAGAAGGAGAACTCCAGGAATGACTGACACCGTCCCAACAGCATGGACTAAGCCTGTTCCTGATGAAGGAGCAGAAAGCTGGTGGTGTGGGAGGGACTGGGGATGGCCAGAGAGGAAGAAAGGGCAGGACAGAAGGCATGTTGCAAGCGGGGAGTGAAGAAACCAGGTTCATAAGGACAGAAAGGGGGAAGTGGGACTTTCTAAAAATCACCATTTCAAGTCTCAGGACGTCTTTGACCTCAGATTCGTTTTAATTCTGAGTTCAGCAGCATAGTACTTCCAAATTTGTTTAAGCCAACAGGAAAGAAGAAAAAGAAGTAATGTGCTTGTCTTTCTTATCTAACCAGAGCAAGATTGAAGACATAAAAGTGAGACACACAGAAAAGGCAGAAAACATGATCCAACTTCAGTTCAGAATGGAGCAGATTGTTTTTTGTCAAGATCAGATTTACAGTGTTGTTGTGAAGAAAGTCCGAGAAGAGATTTTTAATCCTCTGGGGAAGCCTTCACAGAATATGAAGTTGAACTCTCATTTTCCCATTAATGAGTCTTCAGTTTCCTCCTTTAATGAAATAGGCGTCCACCTGAACGCCTACTTCTCCGTGAGTTCCCTGGGGGGCAGAATCTGTGCTCTCTGGCATTTGTAGAGTTGAGCAGGGACTATGCTAACCTAGAGAGGCTTTGCTGAGGGAAGGAGGGAGGGACCACTACAATGTATTAAGCCCTTTTGTACTATGATAAACTACTTATATATTTTCTCATTTATAATTTTACACGAGCCCTGCGAAGGCATTTTTAATTAATTTCCCCACAATCAGTTTTTAAAGTGAGCAGAGCATGTACTCAAAATTAATTCCGACCCCCAAATTCTTTATATTTCATATGCAGTCCATGAATTACAAAATTACTATGATCAGAATACAGCAAAATACAACAAACGTCAATGATAATGGCTATGAATCAGCTTTCTTTGGTGTCTGGAAGGCACTAATGTGCCACACTCGCCAGCCCCACAAGATAGGAATGAAATTTCCTTTCCCTAGATTTTGTGACCCAATGAACTTTTTGGCCTCTGACTTTCTATCCAGTATGCAAGTATCACTGTGCCCAGGAAGGAAAAACAGCTTTTAAACTGCAAAGACACCCACCTCCCGAAGCCCTTTCTCAATCAGAATAGAGTGGTTTCCCAGCCATGGGCACCTGGCTGCCAGACACACTGGCTGCATCTATGAAGATGGAATGAGGGGAGGATTCGAAATGGCCCTGATGCACACCCAGAAGGGAGCCAGGGGAGTCCTGGGCCGGGGGTTCTCTCCAGCAGGGAGGAGCTGTGGGGATGCCCAGAGGTGGTATGGGATTGCTAGCCTAGCAGGGGGATTCTTAGTGCTAGAGGGGATGCCTGGTAGTAAAGAGGGGTCAGTGCAGATAGAACCTTCATGGGGCTTGATGCTGACCACTGGAGTGGAGGTGGGCGGGCCCACCAGGGCTTCACAAGGCAACCATATGACCATCCAAGAACTCCGTGCCTTCTCTCTGCAACCACAGGCCTTGGGCTGAGCCCACTCCAGCAAACCCTTCTTTCTCCCTCTTCCAGGAAACCAGCACACGTCTCGCCAACCAGATCCCATTTATAATTCAGTATTTTATGCTCCGAGAGAATGGTGACTCCTTGCAGAAAGCCATGATGCAGATACTACAGGAAAAAAATCGCTATTCCTGGCTGCTTCAAGAGCACAGTGAGACCGCCACCAAGAGAAGAATGCTTAAGGAGAGAATTTACCGGCTCACTCAGGCACGGCACGCGCTCTGTCAATTCTCCAGCGAAGAGATCCATTGAAGGACGGCGATGCCTGTGGTTGTTTTCTTGTACATACTCATTCATTCTAAGGGGAGACGGTGCAGGATGCTGCTTCTGCTTTCGGGGCCACACTCTTCTGTTACTATCTGTGTCCATCTCTACTGTGCTCCCTCAGCATCAGAGCATACATCAGGGCTCCACACAGGCTCAGCTCTCTCCACCACCCAGCTCTTCCCTGACCTTCATGAAGGGGTGGGTCTCCAGTCCTTGGGCCCTGTAGCACACAGTTGCAGTGTCCTAAGCTACTGCTCTCATTCTTCACTAATTTGCATTTGTGTTCCCTTCCCCCTACAAGATTATAGACCCCAGAGTGGGAAGGTGCAGGTCAAAGTCTTCTTTTGTATGTCCAGTCTTTTGCACAGCACCTGCAACATTGTAACTGCTTAATAAATGACATCTCACTGAACAAATGAGTGCCTTGGAGTGACAGAGATACCTGAGGCTATCGCTGAAGCCCAGGCCTTGGACATTTAGTGACCGTTAGCTGGTCCCTTTCAGATCCACTGGCCATGCCCCCTGCTTCCCATGGTTCACTGTCATTGTGTTTCCCGGATTCTCCACTGCCCCCCAGAAAGAAGCCTGAGTGATTCTCTTTTCTTCTTGTTTCCCTGATTATGATGAGCTACCATTACTCTGTGAAGTCTTGAAGAGGAATTTAATAAAGCAAAGAGACTTTTTAAAAATGTAGGCAGGTTCAGTGACTCATACCTCTAATCCCAGTGACTCTGGAGACTGAAGCAGGAGGATTGCTTGAGCCCAGGAGTTCAAGACCAGACTGGGCAACATAGTGAGACCCTGTATCCAAAAAATTGGTTTGTAAGTAGCCAGACATGGTGGTGCACACCTGTAGTCCCAGCTACTCAGGTGGCTGAAGCAGGAGGATCCCTTGAGCCCAGGACTTTGAGGCTGCAGTGAGCCATGACTGCACCCTTCACTACAACCTGGGTGACAGAGTGAGAGCGAGACTGTCTCTGAATACACACACACACACACACAGAGAACTTCACACCAGTGATCATCATTACGGGTAATTTTATTTTATTCTTCATGTTTTCCTGTATGTTCCAAACTATGAACATATAGATTCCTTAATAAAAAGACAATAGAATAAATATCATTACTGATTTGTTTTAAAACCCAAGTTTGAGATGAAAAGAGGGCCTCAAAAACATTCAGCTTTGTTCAGGGGTACAGACAAGAAAGATTACATGAATTTCTTTCTTCATTTGCTGTAAAAGATATTGGAAAAGAAAGTTCAAGTCAAAAATCACAGCTTGACCAGCATCCCCAAGAGGTCTCTTGCAGAGGTCTCTTTGATTTGTGTTCAAATGCTAGTGTATTAGTCTGCTATAGCTGCCATAACAAATATCACATGCTGGGTGGCTTAAGCTACAGAAATTTATTTTCTCCCACCTCCAGAGGCTGGAAGTCTGAGATCAAAGTGTTGCTAGGTTTGGTTTCTCCTGAGGTTTCTCTCCTTGGCTTACAGACTGCCCACCTTCTCACCAGGTCTATGCTTGGCGTCTTTCTTTTATCTTACAAGGACACCAGTCCTCTTGAATCAGGTCCCCACCCTCAGGGCTTCATTTAAGCTTGATCACCTCTTTAAAGACCCTACTTCCAAATGCAGTCACATTGAGAGTTAAGACCTCAACACATGAATTTGTGTGGCGGGTGGTACGGGGTGGGGGGCGGGCGGGGGACGCATAATTTGGTCCATTACAGCAAGTAAGAAAATAGACATGTGCATTCTGAACACAAAACTCGAGCAATGACCAAAAACTTGGAAAACGGTATCTCTAATTCAAAAGGCAGCAGATCTGGCCTGAAGCAAACCAAATGATCGTGGAAAGACTGACACTGATCGATTACTTGCAATCTTCCAAATGTGGAATTCGGGGATATGTTCCAGTTATCTATTGCTGTGTAACAATCACCCCAAAACTTAGTGGCTTAAAACAGCAGAGGTATTCTTTCTCTGGATTCTGTGGGAAGTCTGTGTTGTTCCTCTGCTTGTCTCACCCATGCATCACAGTCACACAGAAGCTAGACAAGGCTGGGAGGTCCAAGGGAGCCTCACTCTTCAAACTACATTTCCATAAGGAACACTTGGGTTTCATTAGCACTGATTTCCAAAATTAAGAATGTCAACCTAAAAGGAAGAAGCTGGCTTCTTTTTTTTTCCAGAGGGAAAATGGTGGTTAAGAGGCAGGACTCATGTACATTTCCCACTTGGATGGACAGAACAGCATGTGGAGACTCACATTGTGAGCTTTTTCTCCAAGAACTACCTCAGGAACACAGCAGGAAAACCAAAAGAATTCACAGACCCTTTGAAAGAAGTGGCTTGTCACTGCAAACACTGTGAGACAGCCGAAAACCTGTGAGCGCCCGAGATGTAAGAGGGGAAAGCACCTCCAAACACACATCCTCACTGGGGAACCCAAAAATCCCAGATCATGGGGGAAGGATTTAACAGTACCTAGAGGTGAAATAAATTTAGAGAGCTGAGTGAAATATAAAAGTAGTAGAAGTGGCCGGGTGCAGTGGCTCACGCCTGTCATCCCAGCACTTTGGGAGGCTGAGGCAGGCGGATCATGAGGTCAGGAGATCGAGATCATCCTGGCTAGCACCATGAAACCCCTTCTCTACTAAAAATACAAAAAAAAAAATTAGCTGGGCATGGTGGTGGACGCCTGTAGTCCCAGCTACTCAGGAGGCTGAGGCAGGAGAATCGCTTGAACCCAGGACGTAAAGGTTGCAGTGAGCTGAGATCACCCCCACCGCACTCCAGCCTAGATGACAGAGTGAGACTCCATCTCAAAATAAAAAAATTAAAAAAATTTAAAAAAAGATTTTGGGGTACAATATTTTGCTTACCTTCAGTAGCTGGGCCACCTGTACACAGTGCCTGAACCCAGGTCCTGCAGCCCCCAGCTCGACTCTCTAAAGCTCACCAGTATAAAAGGATTTCAGCCTCTGCTCCTCCCGGCAGGGCTCTCTGGTGGGCCCCAGGCAGACATGAAGGAAAAGTCCCGCCTTGACCTTGAGGGCCAAGAGCAACCACGCCAGACGCCAGCGCTCTCATGCCCAGTTGCCAAGGGATTACCTGAGGAAGGCCCTTAAAATACGGGTGCTAATGCAGGGGTCTTGGGATGGCCCCGGACCCTTCATTTCTAATAATTTCCCAGGTGAAGCCAATGCTGCTGTTCCAGGAACCACCCTTTGAGAAGCACGGGTCTATACCACACGCACAGAAGAGGAAACGAAACGAGGCAAAGAAAACCAGTCCCTGTACTCGCGCCCAGGCAGGACAAAGCGGGCAGGGGTGGGGGCGGGGGCGGGGGCGGAGGCGCTGGCAGGCGGACAGACTTGCAGGCAATGCAGCCAGGAGGATGGGCAGGTTGGCCGGTTATGGGATGCTCCACCGTTCCGCGACCGCCACCCTCCCCAGCCCAGCAGAACAGGATCCAAGCTGGGGGAGGTGCCAGTGGTGTTTGTGAGCACCACCACCCCCTCCTCGTGGCACCGTCCCCTTCTTCCCCGCCTCCTGGATTCTGAAGCCTGAAGTCATGCAATTTGACTTTTCCTTTCTGGAAACCAGGGAGCAGAAATGAAACCGAAACTGAATTGTCTAGGAAATTCGCGATGGGGGCAGAGAGCGCAGGGAGAAGCCAGCCCAGTGGAGAACCCTGAGGCCCGCTTTTGCAGGACCAGGGCCGTCGTTTCGATTCCCCATTCATTCATTCCAGGAGCACCGAACCACGCTGTGCCCGGATCCCAAGTGCAGTAGCACCCAGCTTGGGCCTGGGGCTGCCGGTTGACCCGGTCCTCAGCCTAGTAGCAGAGGCCAGGCCAGTGCCACAAGGCCAGGCTCCACTGGACCCTGCCTGCCCAGGAGCCTGTGGTGTCAGGCATGTAAGTCCACCTGGGCCTGGAGGAGGACAGGTGTGCCAAAGAAAATAACATCTCAGGACCCCCAAACTCCTTATGCCAAGGGAAACATCAAGCCTGGGAACTGAGCCATCAACCCTGCCATTCTTTTTCCCAAACAGATCTCTGTTGTCAGAGGCGCATCCAGAGCAACTCCATCTTAAATAGGAGCTAGTAAAACGAGGCTGATACCTACTGGGCTGCATTCCCAGACAGGTAAGGCATTCTAAGTCACAGGGTGAGATAGGAGGTCAGCACAAGGTCATAAAGGTCATAAAGACCTTGCTCATAAAACAGGTTGCAATAAAGAAGCTGGTCAAAAACTCACCACAACCAAGATGGCCACAAGAGTGACTGGTGGTGGTCCTCATTTTTACACTCCCACCAGCGTCATGACAGTTTACAAATGCCATGACAACGTCAGGAAGTTACTCTATATGGTCTAAAAAGGGGAGGCATGAATAATCCACCCCTCGCTTAGCATATAATCAAGAATAATCATAAAAATGGTCAACTAGCAGCCTTCAGGGTTGCTTTGTGGAGTAGCCATTCTCTTACTCCTTTACTTCAGGCAGGGGAGATAAATTCCCTTTGAGCCTGTGGACAGAGGGCAGCCTGGCAGAGGGAGGGGCATCAACAAAGCCTCTGAGTGTGACCTGGGTGCTGAGTTCAGGGATGGCAAGGGAGGACTGAGACTGGATCAGAAGTTGCCTGGAAGAACAGAGGGCCATTCTCAAAGTTTAAGAGTGTGAAACTTATCTGGTAGAAAAAAAAAAAAAGAGTAACTGCTGTTTGTTTAGTAGAGCGCACACCCCCTGCAATTTAGGTGGGAGGTTGTGAGCTTCCTAAGTACAGAAGCTGCCTCTTGATTTCAGCATAGGGAGGAGGTGCTGAAGAGCACAGGTTTGGAGAATAATCACCTGGATTGGAACCATAGCTCTACCAGTATGGAACCCAGCTCCTTAGGCCTCAGTCTTCTCATGGAGAACATGGTATGATAATCCTACTCCTCTGGGAGGGTGGCTGTTAAGGTGAGTGATTGCACACGAGTCCCTCTAGCTGATATTACCGGGTGGTCCTTGTTTTTAGAGCTCCCAAGATAATGGCGGGCCGCTTCCAAGATGGCGGCAAGCCTCTTGTTCTCTGACCTGGGGTTCTTGGCCTCACAGATTCCAAGGAATGGAATCTTGGGGCATGTGGTAAGTGTTCTGGATTAGGACCAGCCTGGGCACTTAGCCATGCAGGAACAATGGCGAGCCTTTAGCCTGACTGGGAGCAGCAATGGGCGCCTCTCTGGATCAGGAGCACAGGGGACACCCTGCTGGATCCAGAGGGGTGGAAGTCAGCGGCAGGTCTGCAATGGCGGCAGACAGCAGTGGTGGACAGCAAGCGAAAGCTCAGCTCGAGCTGTAACAAACACGACTAAAAGACTGCAGTTGCAAGATTCAATTAATAGAGTGAAAACAGAGCTCC